AAGTAATTGTAGAAACTAAAGCTCTTTCATTTAGACATGAGAATTAAGAGGTAGAAATAAATAACCTAGATAGGAAGAGTGGTGGATCATAGCCTATGATCTCACCTACTGGCAGAAGCAGGAGATGGTGAGATGGAGGCCAGCCTGGGAAAAGTTATACAAACAAAACGGGAGACTTAGCTTAAATAAATGGTAGAACACTTGCTTAGCATGCACAAGCTCTGGGCTCAATTCTCAGCACATTGAAATAGGTAGGTAGGTAGGGAGAGAGAGAGAGAGAGAGAGAGAGAGAGAGAGAGAGATCCCATCTAATCAGAAAAAATCTCAACATGGTAGTATGCACTTATCATCTCGCTCATATGGGAAGCCTACACAGGAGGATTGAGATCCACATCAGCCCAAGACAAAAAGCAAGATCCTAGTGGAGAGATAACAGAAGCCAAGAAGATTTTGAATATGGTTTAAGTAGTGAAGTACCTGCCTGGCAAGCAAATTCCTAAGCTCAAACCCTAGTACTGCAATAACCATTATCACCACCGTCACCATTGTCACTTGAAAAAATCAAGAGCTATAAAGAGAAGAGAAGGTTCAGCCAGGCACCAGTGACTCACACCAGTGAATCCTAGCTACGGTTGAAGCTGAGATCCAGAGGATGGCAGTTTGAAGGCAGCTTGAGCACAAAAGTCTTTGAGACTCTCTCTCTAAAATAACCAGCAAAAAGTCACACTGGAGGCATGACTCAAATGGTAGAGAACTAGCTAAGTAAGTGGAGCAAAGATAAGGCTCTGAGTTCTAACCTCAGTGTCCAACATAAAAAGAGAGGAGAGAAGTTTTAAATCATGATTTGTCAATTATCTCAATAAATCAATAAACAGAGATAGTCTGTTGGATCTCATGTCTCTCCAGAGACTCACAGACTAGAATATTCTCACCTTTAGCTTTTCAAAAACCATTTCCAACACGATTATCATAGCATGATTTTGTTTTATAAGGTTTCAAAATTAAATCACTTACCTGTCTGCCTCAAGCTTTTAAATAGAACATTCCCCTCACTTTCCTGTAAAAAAAATACTCAAGCATTACACTGAAGTGTGAATACCATCAGCTGTTAAAACCAAAGACTGTGTAATAACCTCGAGTTCAACTTTGTAGTTTTCAACCCAAACTCACATTTTATTTATATTGAAATAAACTATACAAAATTTATTTTCTTCACAAAAATAACAGCAATATTCTATTATTTCTAGCTAAAGTATTTTTTAAAGATTTTTTTCCTATAAATCAAGATGAGGCAGTAGATATAAACACAGAAAGGCATGTCAACTGCCTGTTTTGACCATGAAGCAGAAATGTTCAAAATTTACCTAAAAACTTAGGCTCAACAAAGGAATGTAAACAGCAACACCAGAACATAAGCCAAACTCTTCCTTCCCGATTTTAACTCTAGCTTGCTCTTTTTAATACATTTGATAGACAAAATTTTCTTTTCTTTTTTTTTTTGGTCCAGTTATAGGGCCTGAACTCAGGGCCTGGGCGCTGTCCCTCAGCTCTTCAGCTCAAGGCTAGCACTCTACCACTTGAGCCACAGTGCCACTTCCGGCTTTTTTTTCTTTTTGCTTATGTGGTGCTGAGGAATCGAACCCAGGGCCTCAGGCATGCAAGGCAAGCACTCTACCACTGAACCACCTTCCCAGCCCAGACAAAATTTTCACAAAAACCTTTGCTTAGTGAGTTTAGGAACCTCTCTCTCTGGTAATTTCCCTAACCTTCCATTACAGTTTTTTTTTTTTTTTCCAACACCAGACATTGAACTCAGAGCCTTGTAATGCGCTAGGAAACTCTCTATTATAGAGCTGCATCCTCAGGACCTGTTTATGTTTTTGTGGCAGAATCTTACTATGTATCCAGGCTAGCTTTGAAATAGAGACCTTCTGCCTCTGTTTCCCCCATAGCTGCCATAATTGTAATTTTACCTCCCCTTTTGCAGAAAAAAAATATTCCCAGGAGCAATCAGAGTCAAATCAAGTCTGAATCCTACACTGAATTGTTTTGGAGATCCAAACTTGTAAGACGCTTAGTCCCATTAAAAACCAGAACTATTACAAGGGGCTTCAATACCCTGTAGGCTCTGACTTCATCATTGTTTTCTCCATTTACTCACTTTTAGTCAGACTTTGAAACCTTGATTAGAAAAGGCATTTAGAGCAACAGCCATTTAGGCATTTAAGAAAAGAACTAATACATATTTGGTATCCAGTGTGTATCAGGCCTGTGTAAGATACTTTATTATTAGTGTGTACTTATTGTACAAAGTGATTTCATCACAGTATTTCATATATGCATATATTGTACAGATCAGTTGCCTTTATTGCTCTCTCTCTTTTCCCTGTCCTCCTTTATTTTCAACAGCTTTCAGTGGGTTAATTTGTGCTTTTTGCATATAAACAATGTATTTTGGTATTATTCATCCCTATCATTCTCTTTCCCTTTCCTTCCACTTGTTCCTCAAATAGTCCCACAATTAGTCACACGTATATATATATATATATATATATATATATATATGTGTGTGTGTGTGTGTGTGTGTGTGTGTGATATATACATGTGTATACACGTATTTATGGTGTGATGCTACATGATAGAAAACATGATTTTTATACTTCTGAACCTGGTTTACTTTGCTTAATATGATGATCTCCAGTTCCATCCATTTTCCTTTACCTTTATAGCTGAACAATACTGCACTGTTTATATATGCTACATTTTCATCCATTCATCAGTTATAAGGCATCTAGGCTGCTTCATAGTTACTGGGAATAATGCTGTAATAAACATGGGCCTGCAAGTATTTCTATTGCATACTTACATTCTTTGGATTTATGCCCGAGTGGTATAGCAGAATAATATGCAGTTCTATTTTTACTTTTTCAGGACGACTACACTGCTTTCCGTAGTGGAAATTATGCTAGTGCTCTACCATTTGAGCCACAGTGCCACTTCTGGCTTTTTCTGCTTATGTGGCACTGAGGAATCAAATCCAGGGCTTCAAGCATGCAAGGCAAGCACTCTACCACTGAGCCACATTCCTAGCCCCTTCTTCATGGGTTTATTGGCCAATTATACTTTTAAAAATAAAATTGTTCAAATCATTTCCTGTTTATGAATTGAACTATTATTTTTTGGAGTTTATCTTTCTGAAATCTTTGCGTATTCTAATTATCAATCCCTTGGCAGATGTATAGTTATGTGTCAGGAACAAAGGCATCACCATCTGCATACTTAGATAAGGAGAGTGAGACAGATTTTACATTTGAACAGAGGGAAGAATTTCTTGGAAAGCATCCATAGTGGTGACTTTTCCTTTTCTAGGAAAATACTGCTTGCTGTCCTCTCCTTACAATTCCCAACTCCCTCTACCCTGTTCTCAGAACCTGCCCTCTACAGGTTGCATCATCCAGACTCTTGCCCCTAGAATTCTGTGGAGACTGGAGGGCAGGAGGAGAGAGAAAGTTTAGGATATTTATTCCTCTCTGCCTTGCCCAGTTTTTGCAGTGGTTGCTTAGTACTTCTGACAACAGTTCCTGTCTGGAAATCCCTCTTTCAGAGTTGTAGCTCTAGCTGGGCTTTGGTGAAACCCCTCCCTTCATTTCTTCTTCAGAACTAAGGTGCTAGTGAGTTGCCACTGTTGCTAGTCCCTGTGTCTCACCATTCCTTGTTAATCTCTTAAACATTGATCAGGCCTCTTTACCCTTTGGTAAAATTCTCTTCAGTTGGACCCTTTGGAATACTGTTTTTCTGCTAGTACACGAGAAAAAATAATAAAAGACATTTCCTTCTCTTTATGGCTTCCATTCAATTTCTAATATCTGCAAGCATTTCCTCCCCTTCCTCTACCTCAAATCTTCCCATCTTTCCTGGTCTTTCATAAATTGTTTCTATATAATGACTACTTACAGCTTAACACTGTTGTTACCACAGCTATGCTAAATCCAGTGTAGCATTAGCCCTCTCTTATCCTTGTTGTTCTATGACTATTCAGTTTTGTGAGTTAGGTCATCCCAGTGAGCAATAAATTCTTTAGGAGCTTATTATTAGAGAATTTTGGCAGTTAGAATTCAGAGGACAAATATATTTCAGTTGGAAAGAACCTTAGAGGCTAAGCCTTATTTAATGTACTTATTTTACAGATGTGGAGATTCAGGTTCACATAAAGAAAAGGTCTCACACCACTATACAGTTATATCTGGGATTAAGATTCATCCCACTACTTCACTGTGCTATACTGCACTGAATATTTAGTAACCATTAATATGCTGATCACTCCCAAATTTATGAGGGTTGTCATTTATTCAATGCTAGACTGTGCCTAAATGAACACCAGACACATAGTAAATGTTCAACAAGCATCTGTTGTTCAAACCTGGGAATCAGCAAGACAAATTCCTTAAAAGCTAATCAGAGTCAGGTATGGTAATCCTAATTATGTGGGAGGTGGATGGAGGTGGAGATCAGGAAGATTGTGGTTTGAGAGCAGCCTACGCAAAATGTTAGTAAGAGCTCCATCTCAACAAATAAACTGGTGGTATGTGCCTATGGTCTTAGCTACGTGGAAGGCCACAGATAGGAGGATACTAGCCCAGGCTAGCTTTGAGCAAAAACTCCACAAGACTCAAATCTTTTTTTAAGCAAAATGAGTTGGAGAAGTGACTCAAATGGTAAAGCACTTGCCTAACAAGCACAAGGTCCTTAGTTCAAACCCCAGTACCGCCACAAAAAGTTAATCAGAACTCACAGGGTCATTTATAATAAAAAAAATTCCTTACACATGTAGAGTAAATGTATAGTTGCAAAAGTCCTGTATGTATATGAGCCAGTTTGATCCTTCTAATGTTATCATGGCAGGAATTATTATTCCTAGGTGACAACTACAAGAAACTTGGAAGCTAAAAGTTCTAGGTTTCCTAACTTTTATGAGGAAGAGCTGAGACCAGTATTCATACCTGACTCCTGCTTTACCATTCTTGCTATTTTATATTGCTTATTCAACTCTGCCTTTCTGTATAGGAGGATCATTTAAGAAGTTATTCTGAATATTCACAATGACTAGGTAGATTAAACACACTTATGTCCACTATTAAAGACACTTCTGTATACTGATTCTGATTAGGCACAGCTTACGGTCTGGTCCTGACACTCTGGAGCCTGAACTTCTGGCAGAGAAGCTTTACCATCATGTGATCTAAGATGAAGATGATTGGACAAATGTGTGCCCTTTGGGAGTTATTCTGCGCATCAAGACTAGGCATCTGGGCAAATATATCTTGTCTACAAATGTCTGGGAAACAAAAACACTCGAGTACTGGGAAAGAGCAATATCTGGAGGAGTAATGAGAAAACAGTTCTCAAGAAGTAGGATAGACAAGGACACACAGAAAAGGAGTAGTCATACAATCTCCAAGGATAAAGGGAGAAAGAGATAACCTTTCCTCTGGCGCCCCCTTTGGGCGCTTCTTGCTCACCGTCGCTGCACTGCCGTCGACCCCAGCGACCTCCATCGTAACGCACCTTTGTGCGCAGGCGCTGCAGAGCCCCAGCTTCCGCCCTAAGAGAACCCTACCCCACCCCCTTTCCCACGAGCCAGCCACGCCCCCCTCACCCGGTGCCCACCCTTCTTGGCCAGTAAGCCTTCCTTAGGTCCCCAGCGGCTGTTGGCCTGGCTTTGAAGTGTCTGAGTGCTGATCAACCTCAGAAATCACCATGGGATGAAGTACTCATGCTCTGCCTTGGGTAGACCACGGGCTGTTGAGGGGAGATACACAAGTATTGCAGTGTAGACTGTTGTGCAGAGGGGCTCAAAATTGGTGCCTCAGAGATGTCAGAGACTAAGCAGGGGATGGAGCTTTCAGACATTCTGCCACGAGGCACCTGTGGTACAGGTGCACGTGTTGGGGAACTTAAAGCTAGTGCTTCAATAGTTGCAGAATGGATTTTCAGCCTAGAGGAAATGGGTGATCATAAAACTTTTTCGTGTGTTGGTCCTGGGCTTAGACTCAGGGCCCTGGGCCTGTCCTTGAGCCCGAACCTGTCTTTGTGCGCAAGGCTAGCACTCTACCACTTGAGCCACAGCACTTCAGCCTTTTCTGAGTAGTTTATTGGAGGTAAGATTCTTAAGGACTTATCTGCCTGGGTTGGCTTCAAACCGCAATCCTACATCTCAGCTGCCTGAGTAGCTAGGCTTATCGGCCTAAGCTACTGGTACGCGGCTTGATCAAATAGCTTTAAAAGGAGAGGGAGTAAATAAGGATACAGGTGGACCCATTGACACAATGAGATGTACAAGATGTTATGTCAAAAAAAGAACTTTACAACTTTGGCTGGGAGGAGTAGGGAGTGGGGAGGAGATGGGAGGGCAGAGATGGTAAAGGAAAACAAAGGAGGAGGCAACATGCTTGATAAGAAATGTACTCATTACCTTGTTCATGTAATTGTAATCCCTCTGTACGGTATTTTCACAATAAAAAACTTATTAATTAAAAAAAAGGAGAGGGAGTGTGGAAGAGAGCAGATGAAGACTATTACACTAATCCGCAAGAGTGGAACTCAAAGCTACTTTTGTAGTGGGGACTGAGAAGAAACAGTGGGTCCAAGGGGTAATTTTGATGCAGAAATGACAGAAGGTGAGAAGTTTAGGAGAGGAGAGAGGAGGAGGAAGTTTTTAAATGACTTGGCAACTGAACTGTAAGGATTTATTTAGCAAGGCATGGAAATGGAGCTGGTTTCCTGCCCCAGATGGTGATAGTGCAGGCTGAGTAGGTGAGACCTAAATTTCTTGTTCAGCTCTTTCTGATTCCTATGTCAGGATGCATCACTTTTACCTTCCTCCCCCTTGAAAGTAATATTTCTACTGCAGCTGTCTTCCCTGAAAAGAATCTGTGTGCACTCCTAGGCCTGACCTTCAGTCCCATCTATTGCAGGCCCCAATAGAACACCTTTCCCCAAGAGAACTCTGCCTTCTTTCACAGCCCCGGTTGTGGTCCTAATGGTCCCACAAAGAAAAGAGGAATAGGCTTCTTTTCTATGATTCACATCGTCTCCTTCTCTTCTGGAGCTTTTTCAGGAAGCGGATGCTGTAGGTCCCATGATTTTGTTTTTCATATTGGTGCTCTCAGGTAAATGCCAAGCTCCTAGCCCAATAGCTGCTGTTCTTCTTGGTGGATTTTCAGAACCAATTTAGATTTAACCACTTAGCTGGTAGAGAGTGGGGACAAGGAGGGAGAGTATGAAGTTGCAGAAGCCATTCAAAGGTTATCATTATACAGGCCAGTCATTTCTATGGCTTTCCACACGCTCACAGAATTACCAGATTCCAAAGACTGCTATAAGATAATTTATTACAGACTATCCTATAATCTCTTGTAACAGTAGCATATACAATAATTAAAAACAGCAAAAAGGCTTTGTTTCTTCTTTCATGTTTTGGAGGTACAGCTGTGGACAATGCTGAGTCCTCAGTAAATTCAGGATGCTGCTATTGAGGAAATCCAAGGACCATGTCACATCTCTGAGCAAGGGCCTGGTAATCCAAGCTGAGTTTGTGTCTGAATCTTCCAAGGGATGTCCAGCCCCACCCTCCATCCAGCTTGTACACAGGTATCAGAGTCCATGTATCTTCTATGTGAGTGAGCATCAGAGGGGAATAGCAGCTGATCTCATGACAGAGAGAAAGGCCAAAGGCTAGATTCTTTCTACAAGGAGGATAGCCAGAAGGCAGTGGCCATAGGCAAGGAAAACACTTCCTAGCCTGGCTTTCACAATTTTTGGCTTTATTCAGGGCCTACTCAAGAGGAAAATATTCCTGGATACTTCAGCTAGCCCTAATGTCTGTACATATAAGAATACCCTCTCATGTCCTAAGTGGTCACTTTCCTCCCTACAGGAATGAGAACTCTGGGAAAATGTCCCCAGGTTCCTAAGATTAAAGAAATATTCTGCTCAGGGCTCTGAAGCACCATGTGAAACTGAACTAATAACAGATATACTCTGAGGGAAGGGATTAGCACAGCTGTTTTTTAGAAGCTACTTTGTTCACTTTCAAGGCCTTGTTTCTCACTGAAGACAGAAACAGTTCTGCTGAATTCTACTCTGTCTGCTCCTTACTCTGGCCATTATCCAGTATAGATTACAGGGCCCATTAATACCTGTAAGGCTCAACCAACTACCTAGCCAATCAGGCACAAGCTTAAACTCTCTAAACTTGTTCTAATGTGTCTAACTGGATAAATCATGTTTTGTAGAAGGTGTGTGGGGGGGGACAGGGCGTGGAGTGGGAAAGGTAACTACCAAGAAGAGCTGACACTCTCAGAAATGTATGTCCCTATTTTTTCCCCCAGGGCTGAGGACCGAACCCAGGGCCTTGCGCGCGCCGGGCAGGCGCCCTTCTGCTGGGCTAAACCCCCAGTCCCTGTCCCTATGTTTTTATGGAAAACCTCTCCCCATGGTAGCTTCTGTAGCTCAGCTCCTAGCACCACATACCTGGTAGTCAGGAATTTATGATCCTTTCAATGAAAAGCCATACTCTTACTATCCTCAAATTTTCCTTAATATTCTTAGTGAAAGGGTCAGCCTCTTGTCCACAAGGACCCTAATCTGGCCACTCCCATTGGCTTGGATTTGTGTAATTGGTGTCACCTGGTTGGCACTAAGCCAGGAGTGTTCAACTCCCCTCTTCTGTGGATCGAGACTCTGATTTAAGTTTCACAAATTCGCGGGCCACCTCATCATTGCTCCTCTGAGATAGAATCCGAAGAATGGTCATGCCTGTCTCGTCCATGTGGATCTTCCTGCCCAAGGGACACCAGCAGGCACAGCTGCCCTTAGTTGCCACATCCCTTAGGGGCATCACTGCCAGCCCTATCACACGATCTTCTCGGGCAAAGCAGTAATCCTTCACACAGATCTGCAACTCATAGGCCTCTGGACCCTCTTCATTTCCAAGGAGGCTGTGAGCACAGGACAGAAGGCAGGAAGCCAGATCTGAAAATCTTCTACTGACTTCATCTCAGTTTGTCATCCAACCCATCCCTCCTTTCTCAGACTGTTCAGCTGCACCTCCCATATCCAACCCAGAGTCCTTCAGGTCTCCCACCCTATAACTTACAAGTGAAATGTTTCATTGTACTTGGGGCTCCAGTTGTTGCTTTTGGACTTGGTTGTGAACTTCCTCTTCTTATCACTTTGGTGTGGGCCAACCATGGTCACTTCCACAAAAGGCCGGAACATACCCGCTGTCTGCCACTTGAGGTCATTGGCAGCCACCACTGCCCAAACAAGGGAAAACAGTGAGGGATCCACCCAGACATTCAAAGTTCTTGAGCCCCAGGTCATATTGCCCTTGGAGGAGGCTAAACTGGAGGACTAGGATGAGTATCCCTTGCTTTCAGCTGAGGAGGCCAAAAACAAGAAAATTTCAGACCTATATGTCCATAATACTCACCTTTCACTGTGACCTTGTGTTCCCCAGTACCAGGGTGTGTAAACAAGTCCACCTGAATAGAGACTTCTCCCATAGGATCATCCACACCAGACCCTGAGGACAGACAGATGATGGCCCATTGCAAAACTCCAGGATTTCAGAACTAATTATTCCAGGTAAAACTGAGGGATTGGGTAGCTACCCCCTCCCCGCACCGTCAATTCTAAAGCACGAAGCAATCACCCACAGAAACTATGAGGAAGTAAGCAATGGGAGAAGGAAAGTGAGGAGATAAAGAATAAGGCTATGCATTTTAATACAAATTAAGCTGATAGCATGTCAGAAACATTCTCAAAAAATTGCACTAGGAATCTCTTAGGATCCTCAAACCTCTCCTGTCCACTAGACTGGAGAACTTTTCATTCACAGATATTGGGCAGGTCAGTGCTGTAAATTCTGTATCTATATGGAAGCTATGTCCATCTTGTGATCTCTCTCTGTGTCTCTGTCTGTGTGTGTCTCTCTCTCTGAGAAAGGATCTTGCAATGTAGCCCAGACTGATCTTAAACGTCCTATGTAGCCAAGACTAGCTTCAAACTCACAGTTCCCTGGTTTATGATATCTTTTTGTTTGGGGGAGGGGGGGTTACGCTGGAACTGGGGCTTGAACTCGGGGCCTGAGTACTGTCCCTTAGCTTTTTCAATCAAGGCTGCACTCTACCACTGGGGCCACAGCTCCACTTCCAGATTTTTGCTGGTTAATTGGAGAAAAGTCTCAAGTACTTTCTTGTCCAGGTTGGCTTAGAACCTTGATCCTCAGATATCAGCCTCCTGAGTAGCTAGGATTATAGGCATGAGCCACTAGCACCTGGCTTATCAGCCTTTTAATAGAACATTGTGGATCCTCCTTTATCAAGCTCCCTCCCACCATACCCAGGATTCCTGGATGCCCCAGCCAGGGAGGCTGACTTCTCTGGAAAACCTTTGTATTATTCAAATCTGCAGAACAGCTCTCTAGTCCCGATCTACTAGCTCCTTTCAAAGCAGAAACGTTACCTAATTAGATTACTCTCATTATAGCCTTTCATTGTAGGGAGAAAGGAAGCCCTGAGGACAGGACAGGACAGGACAGGACAGAGGTCAGCAAACAGAATCCCTTTCTAGGCTATATATCATCTAGCTCTGAGACTTAGGATGGAGCTTTTGAACTTTTGACAACAGGTCCAGCCAGTGCCTTTATAAGCAACTCATTCTAGCTCACAGGGGTCAGTGATCACGTTAGATTCATGTCTGCAGAATGTATAACATACCCTTTTCCGGCTGAATGTCCTCATTAGCAGTAAACCTAATACCTTTCCCATCATGCACTGAGCGAAGACAGGCAAGTCAAGAGGTAGTAGCAGCAGTAAGACAGAGAAAGAAGAATGGTTAGAGGTCAAAGAAGTTATAGCCATTTAAAAAGCTCTGTACTTTTCTGGGGGAGCAGAGATGAGGCAGAGTGAAGAAAGAAGTCCAAGAACTGGAATGAGTGCCTGAATGTTCCATATTAGACTTCATGGACTTAAGAGCAACCAAATCATTGGCAAAAGCAGTAGAAAATATAGACAGAGTATCTGAGAACAGTGGAGTAAGACAGAGGTTGTAGACCCTAATTTCCTAGGCTCTTAAGTGACAATAGGTAGGAAACACATATACATTATTCTTTCTGAAAATATAACTCTGCTCTCACCCCCTCTCTGTGCCTTTTTCAGCCTTTTCCTTTCTTCTGTCTACCTTACAGCTTGATACCTCTGGATTAATTTTCTGTAATAATTCAGATTTTCCCTCATGATACACATAGTACATGTACTCAGCTCTGTAAAGTTCTACTTGACCCCTTTAACCAGACTTACTGCTGCTGTTTTGTGTTTTGGTTTGATTTGATATTGGGGTTTGAACTCAAAGCTTTGCACTTGCTAAGCAGGTGAGTTACTTCTGAGCTATAGCTCCAATACATCACTGATTCTTTTGCAGCCTTTTCCTCCATCCTGGATCGGATGTAGGAACAGTGGTTCCAGTTTCACATCTCTTGTCACATCCATTCTGCTGCTTAGATTTCTCTCCTCCAGCTCAGTGCTCAATAAGGTCCAAGCCTTCCATTCACACCGTCAGGTTCACACCCCCAGAAAACCCTCCCAGGATTGTCTAGAACAGGAAGCAACTAACATGCCTGAAGGTGCCTCCTAAGAGGACTCTACTGCAGAGTCAGCTCAAGCCACTCTTTACGGATGTGCTTAGTTAATACAGGCCTGGCCAGAGGCAAAGAGAAGTTTGGATGACTAGAAATCCCTAGAACAAAACCAACTGCCAGATCCCTGGTACAAAAGCATCATCCATAAGGTCTTGCAGTCCACTTAACCTGCTTCCATGGTTTGCCTCTTAGTCTTCACCTTGTCCATGCTGAAAAGTCTGGAAGATTTCCCTATTTCTCCCTAAGACAACTACCACTAAAGCCTCCAAAACTATGAGCCTAACAAGTGTCTCAACCACTTCTTCTCAAGACTTCCTTACAGATTTTTCTTTCTTCTTCCTGCTTACCAGACCGAGTATACCTGGTAAGCTCAATAAACATGCATGGCCAGCTGATGTTTTCAAAAAGAAATCTCAGGCACATTTACCAGTCACCTGTGATTTTCCTGCCTGATATAGATAAGGGATTGGGTAAGTACTGAGGTTCACTCAAGGGATCTTGAGATCCAAGTATGAAAGACACTCTGAAGAAACCAGATTGTCTCCAAGGACTAAACAATACTGACTTCCTAGAAGCAGATGGACAGGGGAGACAGGAATAGTTCTTAGGCTCTTACCCTGAGCAGTCTGTGAGCGCACAAATGTCTTGATGAGAGTGTCCGTGGTCTGTGTGTATAAGGATAGGGCATAACGCAGAGACTGCAGATCTGGGCTCTTCTCTAGGAAGGTTTTCTTTAGTCCATTTCCTCCTGCATGGAAGTATTGCTGAAAGAGAAATGAACACCCGCTTCACCCCCTCAGAGAAGCCAGAAGAGGTTTACAGGAACAGGAGGCCATCTGACAGACAATAAAATCAGGAACATCCACAGAACTAATCCCAGTGCCCTGGATAAAGAGCATCATTGGGTATTTGGCAGGAACTAGGAAAGGGCCTTATTCCTGGGGATGATGTTCAGAGGACGGGTTTATTTAGCCAAGTACAGTTATGTGTGACAGATACTTTTTTTTTTTTGTCAGTCATGGGGCTTGAACTCTAGGCCTGAGCACTGTCCCTCAGCTCTTCAGCTCAAGGCAAGTGCTCTACCACCTGAGCCACAGCACCACTTCCGGCTTTCTGATGGTTTATTAGAAATAAGAGTTTCACAGCCTTTCCTGACAGGGCTGGCTTTGAACCACGATCCTCAGATCTCAGCCTTCTGAGTAGCTAGGATTACAGGTGTGAGCCACCAGCACCCAGCTAACAGATACATTTCAGCAAGGGAGAATAGCTTTAAAATGATCTTTTCCCCTATGAACCTTAGGGAACTTGATGCCTAGGAGATATTTCTCCAAGGTACCTTAAGTTAAGTTTGCATGGAGCTGACTTATTATTTCCTTACCAATCATAAGTGTCTTGAACTTAGGACAGTATCTGCTACTCTCTGTATCCTTGACAGTGCACAGGACCTCTCCTCTAGATATGGAGTGCTAAGAGCCTAAAGCATACCTAATCTGGCAGGGTAGAATTTCAGAGGCCAAGTGTTTATGGTAATAAGATTGCCTAGGAAAAGAAAGATCTTTACCTTGATGGTATCCAGGGCCAGGTCAAGGACAGCACACTGCTTTGGAGTGAGATTACGTGTTTCTTCTCGCACCATGTGGTCCTGAAACCCCAGAGAAAGCAGTAGTATCAAAAGAGCTGAGAGTAGTCAGGAAAATCATGCTCCTACCTGCCAGTTCAGGAGTGCATGTTTCTCTCCTTCCCTCCTCTTTAGCCTTCTAGATATCCTCCCCTAGTCTCATAAGGACCCCACACTCCAAGAACCTTGAGTTTGGAAAGCTGACTCAGCTCCTTGGCAGCAGTGAAGATCAGCTGGGTGCCCTAGGTAGAGAGGGGATTAGTCAAAAGCAGAAAACCTCAAACTCCATCAGGAAATGAAGACTTAGGGGCACAAGTGGACAGTGGGAATAAGTAGGAGGGAGGTGTCCTTACCGTCTGATCAGTGAGAGGTGGCAGAACAATCATCCTTTCCATGGTATTCATTACCACCCGCCAGAGCTCCTTCAGGACTCGCTTCAGAACAGTCTTCTCACATACAGTGGCGAAGAGTGTGAGGCTGCAGGCCAAGGCAATGGGTAAGGCAGGGGCAAGAGTCTGGGAGGCCGGCTCCTACTAAAAGGCTGATAGCTTGACAGCCTCTTTGCTTTGCTCACCCCCCTGGAACAGTCCTGAGGATCATACTCACTTGCCATCCAAGAAGTCCATGAGAGGCCTCAGCACACTATCTGCATCTTGAGCCACTGAGGCCCTAGCGTTGGGGGATGCATTCCCTGTGCCCCGAACCTGGCCCAGGATGTCGGCCATTTGTCGAACACACTCATCAATCTGCACCTGGAAGCTATACATGTGCTCATAGGGCAGTCCTCCCTGCCCCCCACATTGACCCAGGAGCAGCACCCATCCTTCAGGCCCATTCCCACATTTATGATGTAGCTTCAGCGGGGACAGTCATAGAAGCACATGAAAGAGCTACATACCTGCAGCCAGATGGAAAGGAATGGGATTGGCCAGGGACAACACCAAATTGTAAAAGTTGTGTGCTTGGGGGCCACTGACCTGTTTCCGAACACCATACTGAGTTCATCCAGAACTGTATTCAGTTTCACTTGCAGCTCCTTCAGACTGTCTGCAGCTTCAGGGTCCAGCTGTATCCGCAGGAGTTGAGCATGGCTAGGCTGATTCTCTTGATTCTTGTCTCCTCTATCACTACTTCTCTCTCCTAGGTCCTCACCCCAATCCCTGTTCTTCCTTCCTAGGGCCTCACCCCAACCCTGCTCTTCCCTCTTTGGATCATACCCCAATGCTTGCTCCTCTATCCTATGGCTAATCTCAGATCATGCCAGACCAGACCCCAAGCTAAACTCTGATCAAGAAAGGGTAGAGTTCTATGGTCAAGAAGCTCAGAAATAAAGGGAAGTAGAGTGACCAAAAACCCTAAGACTTACCTCCTTGCCTCCCATGGCCTCAAACATTTTCTCCAGTTGGACTCTTAGTTGCTGCATGTTGTTCATCAGAATGCAGGGCTTTGGAAACAGATGTAACCCTTAAGTCTTGGCTCTTTTCATCATAGGCTCCATTAACTTGGGGTACTTCCCTCTCTCATACTATTCCAAAGCCACAGAGACTTCATATATTATATAGGTCTTGTCCTTAGCACTGAGATAAGGAACCAAGTGAAGACTAGAAGACTATGAAGACTAGAAGCAAATGTTTTTGCCTTTAAACTGAACGGTAGGTATGCATATATTAATGGTATTACCTTTTATAACTTGTTCTATCTAAAAATTTTTGTTAAAAATAAAACCAGTGGTTGGTTTATGCCTGTAATACTATATTCATCACAACTATCTCAACTAATAGCTGAACATAGTGGCACATGCCTGTCATCCCATCTGGGCAGAAAGAATATATAGGTGAATCACAGTCCAGCCTGACCTGGACAAAAACATAAGATCCTATCTCAAAAATAACTAAAGTAGGGCTGGGAAGTTGGCTCAGTGGTAGAGCACTTGCCTTGCATGCATGAAGCCCTGGGTTCGATTCCTCAGCACCACATAAGCTGAAGGAAAAAAGCCGAAAGTGGCGCTGTGGCTCAAGTGGTAGGGCGCTAGCCTTGAGCTGAAGAGCTGAGGGACAGCGCCCAGGCCCAGAGTTCAGGCCCCATGACTGGGAGCCCCCCCCAAAAAAAAAACTAAAGTAAAAAAGGGGGGGCTGAGCTACTGTTTAAAACAATAGAGTATCCACCTAGCATGTGCAAGGCTTGGAGTTCAATCTTTAGTACTGATGTACGTGCACAACCAATCCAAGAACTAGCTTAGTAGAGAATGAAAAGTAATAAACTGAGGTTCAAAGGGACTCATTCAAGTACTCATTTTTGGCATGTTTCTTGAGTGTCAAGCAGAGCTCTGGAAGGAACCAGAAGTCAAGAGCATCTCAGAATAGCTTCAAACACAAGAGGATTCATATTCCTTTTCTCTTAAGTGCCCTAGGGCCTGATCTTACCAGTTTCTCCTTTGTGCAATAAGCTGGAAAGTCCTTTGATAATATGTCTGCATACTGCATCAGTACTTTCCCGATGGTCTGAGCAAAGAGGAAAAAAGGAAAGAAGAGAATCTTTCTTTAGCTTATCTGAGGTTTCATTTTTCATCACAGAACAATGACATTAAGGAAGCTAAGGTAGGCTCTTACAGGAAACAGCTACGTTTCCACCACCACCACCACTCCCTCCCAACTACAGAATAGCACTGAGGGAGACCATCTGTCTACATCAAACACAGTAAAGGGAAAAACAGCAGTACTAGGCTCTTACATGAAAATTACCACAGAGAGAGGCTGAGCTCAAGTCTGTGAATGTGATGATAGAAAGGGGGAAGCAGCAGGAAGGCTCATGGTTACCTTAGCAAATCTCCTCATGTAGTGAGCAAGGATGCTGGGGTCAGGGCATTCCAACTTCCGGATGATCTCAAAGCTCTGGTTGAGCTGTGTGAAGACATCCACCACAGAACAGGAAAAGAGTGCATGCTCTGATGTCTGCTGGAACTAAGGCCAAATACAGAATCAGTATTCATAGCTGCTACCTTTCTCTTAAGCAGATAGGGTCTAAAAGAACTCTGCCTAGTAGGGAGGCTCAGTGGCCTACTAAGTCCTTCCTAAGGACTCTACAGGCAAGGGACAGACAGCCTGGTGAAAGCATAGGCATTTCTGCCAATAGCTAAGTGTTGGGACACCTGGCCCTGGCCCCTGTTCAGCCCAAGGCCTCAACTTACCCCATCTTTCTTATCTCGTTCCAGAGCCCCACGAAGGAATTCCAGGGACACATCCTCATTTTCATCTAGCCACTGGAGTACAAACTGTTCAAACCACCTGTAGTCAGAAAAGAACAGTGGGTTGAAGCTAGAGGTGGGTATATGCTCTGTGCCTCAGAGTTCCACCAGACTGGGATCTTCTGTAAGGCAGGGTATAGTTTGATACTTCTTTCTCTACAACAGGATCCAGACCAACTAGTTCCAAAAACAAGCCTACTGAACTGTATGGAAGACATAAGCTCCTCCCACCCTTCCACCTACAGTGCCCACATAACTCACGCTGGGTACTCAGGCACCTGCCCCTGGAGGGCAGGCAGATCCCGAACATATTCATTGTGGAGCCACTTCACCTTGAAGTGCAGGTTCATGTAGTCAGCACTCTTACAGAGCCGGCCTTTCTCATGTTCTAGTGAGGGAAGGAAGGCTGGATCAGATCTTAGCAGTAGCTATGGGTCCTGAGCTTTCCCACGGCAGCAGATCTAGTCAGGCAGCTCAATCAGATACCTTAGAAGACAAGTAACTCCTAACTTCCATTTCATAGCCATCTTTCCACCAGTGCCCTGCTCAGCCACTCTCTCAGAATCTTCCTCTAAAGAGACTAAGATAAAACCTATAATCTTTTAGCTTTAGCTTTCCAAGTGGAAAGGTGAAGAGGAAAAAGGGCTGGGAATACTAATACTAATTAGCAGAAGCACTGCCAAAGACTGGGAGGGTTTTCTGGTTAAAAAAAAAATCTTAGTAGCTGAGCCATTCCATGAGATGGGCTTAAATGCTAAGACATGAAGGCAAATACAGAATGAATGGATACACAGAGACAGGGGAAACCAAATAAAAAAGCTCTGAGAAGTTATGTATAACACAATTCTGAAAGAAACTGAAGGGCTCCAGAGCATACCTGAGACATGGAAAACAAGCTCTCAGGGAAGTATGAAAACAAGGATAGTCAGTTTGGAAGCTATAGAAACACTACCTGACGAAAGGGCCATCATGCTCCAGAAAACTGGACTGTTATTGTGGATGTAATAGGTCATTTTGCTGATTCTTGAGGGCTTTCTAGAAAAAATAGGTCTAACATCACTCAGTACCAGCTCAGAGTCTAGAGCACTTGCCATACCTATGGAGTCCATCCAGTCCTTTCCCTCTATATACAAGTTCATTGTGTGTTGCTATACCATAATAGTACTGGCAAACTAATAGGGAGAATACTAAGCAGCAGAGGAGGAGAAGCCAGTTTCCTTGGGGAACCTATTGTTCAACTCTGAGATGCCATGGATGATGCTTCTCTGAATCAAAGTAAAACAGTCTGGGCCACTGACCCTTCCGAGTCAGTGCAGCAATACACTCAGGGAGGAAAGGGAAATGTGGGGTTCAGCCTCAAAAGGCTTTGGATCCCAGGGCTTTCATCACCTGGCTCTCTAGGACCCAGCCCTAAGTTGCAATTGCTGTATCTTCTATGAAGCAGTAAGCAGGAAAAGGTATAAGACTAAAGGCAAAGGACAACAACTAAAAGTTCTTACCACCAGGAAAGAGGACTTTTCGAATACGAATGATAGTGGTTGCTTGTGATGGAGCAGAGACACCAATGAGCAACAACGGTGGAAAATCAGGGATGTTAGAGAGACCCTCTTCTCCACCCCTTTCCCTGCAGTCCTAGAAACAAAGCACTACAACCAAGAGCACCATCCATCCTCTTTCCTGTTCAGCAACCCCCTAGAAGTAGGAACAGGGCTACCCCATGACTTCAGAGTTCCTCTTTTCTTCCAAGTAACATATAATTCTCTGTCAATCCATTATCTGTCCTCAGACCTCAGGCCCAAATTTCTACACTAAACATTAACATCTGTGGTTTAAACACCAATGAATGCTGAGAGACCGGTTATGCTTTATTCTAACTAGGCCTAAGGAGTTATGTTCCAGCAAGGTTATACGTTATTGTTGGTGGTGGTAGTGAGTTGATCTATCAGAAGGGGCAATCATGTTTCCATAACCTCTTGCTCTTGACTTCTGCTTTTCTTCCTGCATCTTTCATCATTGGAGAGTTCTTTTAACCTCCTGATTTCAACTATCTAGTTTGAAATCTTCTTAATCTCTCTAGGGTTCTGATATTAGAGGTTTAGATGGAACACTTACTTCACTGTTGCCTAAGTTTGACTTGAATCTCCATCACTCACCATCTTAACATCGCTGGTAATGTTGAACAGGGTATGCTGACTAGTCTTATCTTCTTATTCAGTGCTGAGATTTATCGTAAGATTTTCTTTCTTCCTCTATATCCACTTATGTCTAACTGCTACTGATTTTATCCCCCCAAATCCTCTGGAATCTATCTAATTCCTTCTAGCTATACTATTTACTGCCTAGGTTTCCTTACCACATCTCTAACCTAGATTATTACAAAAGTCTCTACTCTGATTATTCTCCCTTCAATACATTCTCCACAGTGCACCCATAGTAAGTGGCCTTTGTATATATAAATCAGATCATGTCAATCCATCCCTTAACGTGTAATTGGCTCTCAATTGCTTCACAGTGAAGTCCAGAAGCCTAAACCTGGCTTAGACCTGCTTCATGATCTGGCTCTGTCATAACTCACCACCCATATCTCTTACTGACCATTTTTCCTGCTCTCTGAAGTGCTGGTCACTAAACTGCTGTTTTCATTTCTCTAAACAAAAGACATACTGCACACTCTGCATGAAATGTTCTGTCTCCTTTTGCTGTCATTACTATCCTCCCTTCTCACTCTGGGCCTGAGAGTTCTTGTATTTTCTTAGCAAATAATGTTTATTTTTTATGGCATTTAAAAGTTGTATTTCTAGATTTGTCTGAACTTTTCAAGGGTTGGGGCTATACTTTATTCATCTTAGTGGGGAGCCAACAACTAGTACAATACTTAGCATAAAGAAAATATTCAAGAAACAGTGATTGACTGCAAAGGGGCACTGGGGAACTTCCTGTTTCATGTTTTAGTTGGGAGAGTAGTTTCATGTATTTTATTTTATATGTTATAGCCCAATAAAGTTGACATAGGAAATACTAGGTGAAGACCAGCATTTTCTTTAGTTTTTAAATGGCTTTCTTTCATTTTTGAGGCATGGTCTTGCTACATAGCCCATTCTGGCCTTGAGCTCTTGATCATCCTGCCTCAGCCTCCCAAGTGCTAGGTTTATAGACTTGTACCACAATGCCTGGCTAAGAACAATGTTTGCTTTTTATTATTTTTTGTGACACTGGGGTTTGAACTCAGAGCCTTGGACTTGCTAGGAAGGCATTCTACTACTTGAGCCAAGTCTATAGTCCTTTCAAAGTTATTTTTTAAATATGGTCTCACATTTTTTCTTGGGCTAGCCTGGACTCCAATCTTCTTGTTTATTGCCTACAGCATAGCTGGGATAACAAGCTCACACCAACATGCCCAGCTTATTTGTTGAGAGGAGTCTTGACAACTTTTTGCCCTGGCTGGTCTAAACTGTAGTTCTCCATATCTGAGCAGTTGGGATTATAGGCATGAGTTTCTGTGCCAGGCCAGGATAACAGTTTCAACTTTTCTTTTCACAATCAAGTTAATATTGTTATATCATTCAGGACCCCAAGCTCCTCCCCTCAACTTGCTCTTCATATTCTCAGACTAACTAGGTTTTGCTACAACTTTACAGTAGCTATCATAGCTCATTCTTCCTTCTCCAATCCCTAATATAAAACAAACTGGTTTTTGTTTGTTTGTTTTGGTCATGGGGCTTGAACTCAGGGCCTGGGCAGTGTCCCTGTGCTTTTTTGCTTAAAACTAGTGTTCTACCACTCTGAGCCACAGCTCCATTTCTGGTTTTCTGGTGGATGAAATAAGAGTCTCACACACTTTCCTGCCTAGGCTGTCTTTGAACTATGATACTAAGATCTCAGCCTCCTGAGTAGTTAGGATTACAGGCGTGAGCCCCCAGTGCCTTTTACTCAAGACTAGTGTTCTACCACTTGAGCCACAGCTCTATTTCTGGAGATGAGAGTCTCATGGACTTTCCTGCCTGGGCTGGCTTTAAATCACAACCATCAGATCTCAGCCTCCTGAGTAGCTAGGATTACAGGCATGAGCTGCTGATCCTAGCTAAACAATCTATTATCTGCATTCTCTAGTTCTATCTCTCCTACTTCTAGCTGCTCCTCTCTTCCACTGTGGAAAAATTTTGTTAAAATTCTATTTTTTACATGGTATTTCTGTCTATAGTGGCTTCTTCTTGCTTTTAATAATGAAGATTGTATTCAATACCCTGGATAAATTGTCAGGTAGTATTCTTACTGTATTTTACAGATCTCAGTTTCTTATCAGTTCAACATAATAATTCATGACTCCATTTTACAGATAAGAAAATGGAAGCTTGTAAAAATTAAGTAGTTCAGTCCAAGGTCACAATGCTAAGTGGTAAAACTGAAATTTGAGACCTAGACATTTGTTTCTTGTTCTTCTCTCTCCTCCCTTTTCTCCCCCTTCCCATTCTCCTTTCCTCCCTCTTTCTCTCTCCCTCCTTCCTCTCCCTTTCTTTGGTGCCAGTACCAGAGCTTGAACTCATTCAACTTATTGGCTCATAGCTAGTGTTCTACCACTTGAGCCACACCTCCAGTTTGGCTTTTTGCTGATTAGAGATGAAATCTTTTGGACTTTTCTGCCCAGGTTTGTCTTTGAGGAACCACAATCCTACAGATAACAGCCTCCTGAGTAGTTAGATTTACAGTGTGAGCCACCAGTGCCCAGCTTTGTTCATTCTTCTAAGGCAGTTTTTTACTCTTTTGTGTGTGTGTGTGTGTGTGTGTGTGTGTGTGTGTGTGTTTGCTTTAAACATTAGCGAACTCTCTTTTCAAAAGATACCTTACCTAGAATTCCATTTAAGATTATTAAAGCAAGCAGACTTTGTTAACACCAGGTAAAGAGCTGAGTCTAGACTTCCCCTTTTAACTTAACTTCTGAGATATTTGTCTAAAAAAAACAACCTCTGCTCTGCTCTTCCTTACATAACCCTTCCCCCTTGTAAAATTGATTAAATTTTCAGGGGTATTCATCCTTTTCTCCAAACCCACTGTACATGTTCTTTAAGAACCACAACCACACTCCCCAGTTTGGTGAATGTTACCTCATCAAGGTAAGGGAAGTCAGGTAACCTCCTCACTGATCTGACAGGCTAATGTGTGGGCTAAAGTTCCAGGTGAATCCAGTGTCAGCAGGACTCAACTACAGCTCTGAGATTGAATTTCAGAATCTACATGTATAGTCTGTGGCTATCACAAACTTAAGCATACATTTCTCTTTCAATCTCAAGAATCACTGTTTCTAAACCTCACAAGTTTAAGCCCGAAGGCTATTCCTCTATACTCACATAAGATCCAGACTCTACTTTGTGCTTGCCCCAGATGGTTTTTCCTCTTTCTAGATCTACTTTCTCAGACTGAAGAATTATACTAACACATATAAACAGACCCCCAAAATTCAGCTAAATAGCACAGATGGGTACAGGTCTGACATAGATAGGGAGTGATATGTTTGTGGAGCAAGGTGGGAAATGAAAAAACAAAGATGAATGAACAAGATGAATAATAATGTATCTGTAGCCCTGCTCTATAGTAAGGAGAGGGATATTTGGCTTTGCCACACTAATTCACACAAACTTTCAAAGAAAGCCAGGCTAGTCAATCTCTAGCATGAGGAAATTACAATATTTATCTCTATATTTAAGTTTCTCTGACTTTTCCCCCCTATATTGAGGCTTGAATTCCTTGTGCTTCCAAGGCACACTTTACCACTTGAACTATGCCCCCTTCCCTTTTTGCTCCAGTTATTTTTCCAATAAAGTCTTACTTTTATGTTGGATTGGACCATAGTTCTACTATTTATGCTTCCCACATAACTACAATGACAGGCAAATGTCACTTTGCCCAGCTTTCACTGGTTGAGATGGGCTCTTGCAAAGTTTTTGCCAGGGCTGACCTCAAACTGCTATCCTTCCAATTTCTGCTTCCCAAATAGCTAGGATTATAGGCGTGAATGACTATACCCAGTCATCTCTGAATTATAAAGGTAAGTTTTATAAGAACACTCTCTAAGATTTGAGCCACCATCCTAAGAATGCTCACCAGAGGAGAGGTGATCTCCGACTTGGAAAGTCTTGAATAGGAACTTGTTCTAAAGCTGGAAGATCCTACATTCATATAGCCATTTCCATTATTTCCTTTGGTGCAACTTTGCATATCCAAGGCCTCCTACCATGGCAAGGATCCCTCTAGTTTCTCACTGTACCATTTACCCACAACATGTAGTTATCTGGAGCAAAAGGACAGTTTTCAAGGTACTTGGGCAGACCCTTACCTTCCAGTGCATATTTCATGTCTTGGGAAAACAGATGCCACATCACTTCTGCACTTACTTTTCCCACATTCAACTCTTGAGGAAACCTGGATGGTGGGAGAAAACACAGTCAGAGAACAAGGTAAGAGCCATTTATTTGTTTCGACTTTTTCTAAGGTGCTTAGTTCTTGGAAGTCATATTGAGGAAAAACTAGGGAAATGAGCTAGGCTCAAATGGAGAAAAGGGGCCCAGGGTGACAAGTAAGGATATAGGGGTCCACTTAGGCATGATGGGCCCAATGGGGAGAATGTCTAGAAGGCAAGGCATTGAGGGTGAGAGGAGGGGAAGGTTGGGGCAGGTCTAGGTAAAATAAGCTGAAGGAGGGCAAAGGACTAGGCTTTAGGAAGGCCCACTTTATTCAGAGTGGACAGACACATGCACACATAGTCTCTGGATCTTCTGGGGGTTCTATAGTAGCCACAGTCCCAGAAGCTTCTCACTCCCGAGAGGCAGGCTCGGTCAGGCATGCGCCCTCCATTATATTTCCACACCTGTCTCCAGAAACAGTTACCCAGACAGATACAAGGGACAGAGGGACAGATGGACGGACAGTTGGAAGAGGTGGCACTGCAAACATACAGAGACAGGAAAGAAAGAGGCTGTTAGACAGAGAGACAGACCAATCACTGAACAGACAGGATCAAGTAGAGTGATACTCACTGGTTCAGAACAGGTGTATAAGAATTCTTATCTTCCTCTATGATTGACACAATGAGTGTAATGAGTTTGGGCCAGAAATCTAGGTTCTGAATGCTGGGTCCTTGTTCCTCTGGAGGTAGCTCCTGATTCTTGTTCCAGAGGAGATCAATGAGAGAGAGACACACAGTAAGTCAGGAGAGAATTGGGAAGGATCTCAAGTCTTTCTCTTTTTCTTCTCTTATACATGCTGCTTCCTCTTGAATCAGAGACCCTTTCACTACTAGAAACTGTTTTCCACAAGACTGCCTCTATTCTTTGAGAGGGAGGATAATTAAGAGGTCCTTTATCCCTTGAGAACTTCCCTCCCCAGCTTGGGGCACTGATCTGATGAGGTTGGTCAGCTAGGAGTTATATAGATGCTCATTTTTCTTACTTCTTCTCTCAGTTGCTATGGGTATATTCCCTGACTGAAATTAGCACTGTTTAACCTCATTAAGTAGGTCTGATTCCATGTGACTCACACAGGTTGCCCTTCTTTTGCAGTAGTGTTCTTCAGATTCCTTTCCCTACTTAGCACTCAAATACATTCCAGCTCTGAAAAGCTCCCTCACATTCTGCTACTGAACAGACCTTACGTGCATTTTGGCCTTTCAGCAATATAGGACTTCCCTGCACTTCCTGAAGTTCACTTGGGAGAAGAAGTGAACTTAGAAAGCTATTTAGCTAGCTGGATAAGAAATGACTCTGTTTAAGAAGAGGCAAGCGAAACAATGGTAGATTTTAGAAAAAGAGGAACCATTCCACATTTAGATTCCATACTAGATAAGCTATGGTCACCACAGACATTGAATTAGACATTATCTCCTATTTGTTTAAAAGCAAAGGTGAAGCTGCCTAGAGGTACAGGAATAGTGCTTGTGTGTGGATGCCTACATTCTGTGACTTCTACCACTTTAATATCACTTAAATGAATCTCTTCATTTTACTTTTTCTGGCACAATCCTGACTGAAGCTCTTGTCATTTAAGGATCCCTTTAGTCTTTAAATCTTTTTTAATTATTTTTGTTTTGTTTTGAGACAGGATTTCACTCTGTAGCCTAATCTGGCCTTGAACTCACATCCTCCTGCCTCTTCCTTCCACATGAGGATTACAGTGTGTATCACCATACCTACATTGGATCTCCTTGATCTTTAAATTTTAATCCAATACCTCTGCCAGGAAATTGTCACTGATTTTTCTATAAGGAAAATCTCAAAGTGCTACTCCTCTGCATAAAGCTCTTCAATGTCCTTCAATGCTCTTCAATTAAGCTCTACAAAATGGTCTTTCAGAAAATGACCTCTCTCAACCTCATGCCCAGCCACTTTGTGTTGCAGCCAGCACCACCTCACAATCACCACTGACTGTGGTGTCAGGTACTCTGCTAATAATAATGTTGCATACTTTATTTCAATTGATCCTCATAATAATTGTATGATTAGAAGTCATCACCTAAGGACAGCAAAGTTATGTGGTTTGTCTAAAGTTATGTGGCTTATCTAAAGTTATGTGTCTGTAAATAGCAGAACCAAGATTTGATCCCAGATAAGAATTCCAAATCTAATGGTACAAATGCCCTTATAAAAAAAAGTTTATGGCCAGGCGCTGGTGGCTCACGCCTGTAATCCTAGCTACTCAGGAGGCTGAGATCTAAGGATTGCGGTTCAAAGCCAGCCTGGGCAGGAAAGTCCATGAGACTCTTATCTCCAATAAACCACTAGAAAACCGGAAGTGGCACTGTGGCTTAAGTGGTAGAGCACTCACCTTGAGCTGAAGAGCGCAGGGACAATGCCCAAGCCCAGAGTTCAAGCCCAGACTGACCAAAAAAAAAAAAAAAAGTTTATGGCTGGGTGCCAGTGGCTCATACCTGTAATCCTAGTTACTGAGGAGGCTGAGATCTGAGGATCATGGTTCAAAGCCAGCATGGGCAGAAAAGTCTATAAGACTCTTATCTCCAATTAACCACTACAAAACCAGAAGTGGTGCTGTGGCTCAAGTGGTAGAATGCTCGCCTTGAGCTGAAGAGCACATGGAATAGCGCCCAAGCCCAGAGTTCAAGCCCCACAACCGACAAAAAAAAAAAAAAAAAAGTTTATGTTATCCTAAACTAACATACTCATGCACAATTCTGTGTCTCCAAACATTTTGTTTTTACTACATGATATTCATACCCATATTACTACCATTTCTTTAGTTATTCCTATTTCTTCCTCAAAATCTTCTCTGAGTTTCCCCTGATATCTCTAGTCTGGTTAGTTGCCTTTCTTCTGGGCATCTCAAATGCTCAGTTTGTTAAATATTGGATAAGCAAATGAATAAATTAGGTCAATGAATGAAAGTCAGTAGATGGAAATGCCAAAAACAACAACCACCAGGGTTTACTACAGTGTAAGTATGGAACAATAAGAAAATGAGATTGAGAGGCTTATCAAAATAGTAAGGCTAATAAGAACAAAATTAGTTCATTTGCAGGGAAATGGATAGACCTACAACAAATCATGTTAAGCTAAGCCAAGATCATAGACACAAAGGACATGTGTTTTCTCTCATATGCAGAAGCTAGATCTAAAATACACTGGGACATGATAAACTGTACAGGATTCTAGGTATCCACACACAGTGAGGTCAAAGGAGAGGAACACAAAGGTGCATCATCATACAAAATAATATTTATCAAAATGAACTCCAGGTAACGGAAATGAGGTTTTATTCTTTGTTGTTGTTTTCATTTTTTCTTATTGTCTTGTTTCTTCATTTATCTGTCTTTGGAAATGCAAGGGGGTACAGAAATGGAGGGACAAAGGGTAAACAAATGCAGTGGTTACATTCACTAGACAATATGTTGAAAATGAGCTAATCAAATTGTGGGTGGGAAGGGGTGGGGAGGAAAAAACTAGGAGAGAGTAAGAGAAGGGGTGACATTGTCCAAAAAGAAATGAAAATGTACTCTTTACATGCCTATGTAAATGCAACCCCTCTGTATATCACCTTTGTAATAACAATAAAAAAATACTAAGGCTGAAGCAAGTTATTGAGTGCTTTGTAAGCCTTATTATATTCTCCTGCTTGGGCAGAGACCAAATATTCAAACAGACTCCTGAGCATAGTTGAAAAATCAAAGATGAAAGTGTCTTTTCCCAACCAAAGAGAATCCATAGATGGTTGAAAGGAGCTCAGTATGTAGCAAGCAAAATAAAGGCTCCAGGAAAATTTCTCATGGACATCAGAATCAATGGAAAGTTATATAACCTTAAAAGGAAAAACTGTTAAATATTTGGCTAGCACAAAAAATATGTTTGGGAATGAGCACGAAAAGTACATTTGGGAATGAGAAAAGGCAGCATAAACAAGACTTTACTAAGGTGGTTCCAGAAAGCATTACAGATTGTATGTATTAACTCAAAGATAGATGTATAATAGATTCTTATCATTTTATCCTACTGTCTTTCCAGGTCTATCTCAAATATTCCTTGTTTTATGTAGCTTTTCCCATTAATTGATCAATAGTGACTTTATCTTCCTTAGAATCTCTTAAGTCGCATCTCCTTTTTAGGGCCCTCCTAACAGACTATTTTGCCATGAAATTATAGACTTACTGAAGTGGCATTGTTGCTTTCCTTAGACCTGACCTAGAGTATTCAACATATAATTGTTCGATTAAAGGAAAGCTACGCTTTAATGATATTCTTAAGAAAGGGATGGTAGGGGAAAAACAAAGGAGGAGACAACAATGCTTGATAAGAAATGTACTCTTTACTTTGCTCATGTAACTTAACCCCTCCTCTGTACAGTATTCTCACAATAAAAAACTTATTTAAAAAAAAGAAAGGAACTAAACTGTAATTGGACAGAGAAGAAAATCCTGACTTTGAAATGAAGGGCGGAGTATATATTATTAGAAGGAACTAGAAAAAGTGATCTATTAAGTCACTAGATACCAAATTAGGATCCTAGCCTATAACAGGTAAAATGGCTCAGCCTCACAGGAAGTCAACTGGTTAAAATATTTCAGAAGATTATGCACATAGAGAGAAGTGATTAAAAGGAAGAGTTAAACTTTCCCAGCCAGAAGCTCAGAGATAGCTACAGATCTGAGAGTTAGGCAGCATGGTATTCATAGGGATCCATATAAGTCAGAACAAAACAAACCTTGAGCCTGAGAGGGACTGGGAAGGACTCGCAATTTCACTACTCAGCCACCAAACAATGCAGAAACTTATCATTGCTCTTTCTATTCTACCCAGGTATGTTACATTTTGTCCAAGGGTCGCTGTTAATCCGCAAATGTCTCACATATGAAACAGATGATCAATAGTCCATAACCCATTCACCCTTGAGAACATCAAGGACTTTATCTTGAGATCTTTTCCACCATAACTCTAGCAAAGATAAACTGAGGTTCCAGAGAGCCAGTGTCAGCTGGCCCCACCTGCTCCTAAACTTCTTACCAGCTGGTATTGGTGGCTGTATAAATCATGGCAGTTATTGAAGATATACTCATATGTAGAGTTCAAACAAGCCTTCACACAATCCTTTACCACCTGGCTGGCTCTTGGAGGGCTCTGCAGTTCTTGTACCTGCCAATTAATATGAAAAAATACAGGCTCAGGGTTCTGCTCACATGGATAGGGTATCTTACTAGTACTTCCCTAAACCTGCACCAGATTCTTTCATGCCTTTTTAAGTTCCTATACCTTTCTTTGCTATGAAACTGCTAGAATAGTGGATGGGAAGAACTACTAGTCTATCTTCATTAGCCTACAATTTATGAGTTTTCTCGAAAGTAATCTAGGGAACAGGTGTATGGAAATGGGAGCTTAGTGGTGATGAATCCGTAGCCTCAGACTATTCTCAGTGACTCTTATTGTCTGTGTTCCTGAGACCAAGTTTTCAGCCCAGTACTAGCCAGCCTGGCCCATACTTACCTTCATTCTAAAAAAGGTGATGCTAGTCAACAAATCCACTGTAGATTTTAAATCCTGAAGCCTCTCAGGGCTTCCAGCAGGGAAGTTATTCTGTTGCAAATTAAATAAATGTGAGATAGGATCAGAACAATAAAAACTTTTCCTCCCAAAGCAATGAAATAAAAAGCTACCCTGACATCCTCACTATAATTCTACTTCTCAAGCAATATGATCATTTGTTCAGTTCTCCTCCCCATCCCCATGAAGATTCTCCACAAAATGAGTTCTTAAAAATTACAATTAATTGTATATACTTGAATATAAGTGAAGTTATACTATAGATCAAATGAAGATAGAGTACCCATATTTTTCATATACCCTAGCTCTTCTAGGTTCTAGAGCCAATAGATAGCAGAGCTCAGTAAAACTTCTTTGGAATGCATTCCTAAGGATTTTGGTAAGTGCCTTACTTTATTCCCTTAGGCATAGATTTTAGGGGGAAGCTGCCATGGAGAGCTGAAGGGAAACATTAAGCCATGATCCATTTGGTCAGTTTTTAAGCCTGCAGATAGCTATGTATATGCATTATTCATATAAATGGAAGACATGGGCATACAATGAAAACTTCTTTTTTACTTTTGATCTTGTACTTTTTATTTTATTTATTTTATTTTTTTTGTCGGTCGTGGGGTTTGCACTCTGGGCCTGGGCGCTGTCCCTCAGCTCTTCAGCTCAAGGCGAGCGCTCTACCACTTGAGCTACAGCGCCACTTCCGGTTTTCTGGTGGTTTAGTGGAGATAGGAGTCTCACGGTCTCTCCTGCCCGGGCTGGCTTTGAACTGAGATCCTCAGATCTCAGCCTCCTGAATAGCTAGGATTACAGGCGTGAGCCACCAGCGCCCGGCTAATTTTTAATATGCATATATTGTCTGTTCTGGAATCTCACATTTTAAGTAAGCAATGATACCATTCTATGAAGATCTAACTTAGGAGCTAAGAAACTGACCATTTCCATATCCTATTCACCTCAGATACCTACTGCCTTATTACTACTATTTCTTCCCTCCATGATAGAGAAGGACATAACCTCTAATACAATTTACTTGCCAAAGACATTATACTCTTTTATCTAGATTCTCATACTTCTTTAGAAAATGAGAATAGTATACAAAATACAAAATAGAAATGTAACTATTTAATTTTTAAAATTTTTATATTTATCTTTCCTAAGTATCTAATTTTTAAAATGACACTTTTGGAAGAGATTATCCTCAGTAAGCTCCCAAGGGAAAATGCCATTAGAGAGTTTGGCAGAGTAACAAATGGTTTTGGAAAGCCAAATTTCTACTAAAAACAGTCACATCTGCTGCTTATATGTTCATATTCCTTGAAGCTAGGAAAATCACAGGTGACAGTGTCAGTAGTCAGTCAGGTAGATGTGATGACAGGTCAATTTTCTTTGTCTTTGATATTATAGCAAGGATGGGCCTATACCTCCCTAGACTGAGCTTGATATATTATCCCATTCCACAGCCATATCTTCACTTACTCTGTATGTAGAGAGGTCAATCCGCAGTGAGTTGTGGAGCTGGTCCAGCAGTTTAACAAATCTCTCTTTCTGAGGATTAGAAACAATAGGGAAGAGAAAGATGACAAGTTTCTGAGCCCTCTAGACTACAGCAGAAACTGAACTACTTCTTTGTAAGTATAAAAGATACAGAGGAGACATGTGGCTGGCAATATATCCTATACAATTCTTGTCCATTGCAAGAACAAGGAAATAAGATAGGGCCTATTTCTTAGCAGCTCTGTCTCAAACTTGGAAATCTTTTCACACTGACAAGGGGAAAGTCAACTCCCTAGGAAGGGAAATATCTCTTTCTATACATACTTCTCCATCTCTTCTATATATGCATCTCCATCCCTTTATGACTATAACTCAATTTAATCAGATAAAAGGGAATCCAAACACATTTTCAAACTTGCTTCTAAGTCTGTGCTACTTATCCTTGGGCTTATACTTGATTTATCATCATTATAGTTTTATAGACACAATCTAGTAGTGATGATGAGAGGGAAAAATAGCAATGCATTTTCTAGTGTGTGGACTATTTTCCTTTTCCAGGGTGTGTACTTCCTTGTATTGGTCGGACAGACATGAAAGATCTCTCTTTAAACCAGGAGTAGGGAGCCCTTTTTCTACTTATATATCAAAATATTAGAAAAAATACAGTCAGGGCTATTTGTACATTTATAACATCATTTGTGGGCCATGAAAATTACCAATACAGGAATATGGCCATGAGTAGCCAACAAGAAGCAAACAAGAAGCATGTGTCTGTCCCATCAAGAACTTTATATAGCCTGAGGGTCAGACATTCCCTACCCCTGCAAGTTTAAACCAAGATGCACATAACTTTCCTTAGTGTAGATATTAAATGTGGAGCTCTGGACCTGCAAGTTGTGCCTTTAAGATTGCTATGTAGTCTTAGAACTTATATATTAGGAAGTGGCACTGTAGTTCAAGAGGTAGAGCGCTAGCCTTGAGCTGAAGAGCTGAGGAACAGCGCTCAGGCCCAGAGTTCAAGCCCCATGACCGACCAAAAAAAAGAAATTATATACTAATTATATTAGGTACTGACTAAATCAATGCATAATGGGATAAGACAAAATGGAACCAATATTCTACTGACTTAATCAATTATGTTAATTCATCTATGTAAAGATTTCATCAACAACAACAAAAGCAGGCCCCAGAGGCACAGTAAATTGGGCAGATATCAGTAATTTTAAACCTACAAAAATAAATAATTTTTATGGTGTGTCAGAAATGTTTCATTCATTTTATATAGAATTCTGCATAATGTCTCAACCTCTCAGCTACCTTAACACCAGGAAGTACACACCCTGGAAAAGAAAAATAGTCCAGACATTGGAAAAGGTTCAGGACACACTGGCATCTTGGCTTAGACATTGATCTCATATGAGCCTAAGTGGAATAGAGAGGCTGAATAATATTAAGAAAGATCTGTAATTGGACCTGCAAGACTGAAGGACATTTTTACTCAACCAAATTGTTGGCCCAAAGAGGGTCTGCCCAAGCAGCAACCCTTAAACCAGTGGTGCTACTATTTACCAGTGTCTGAGAAGAATCTATTAGTAGGCTACATATCTATGAAGAAAGAAAGTTAATCTGTTAAGTTTGTAACAATCAGTCAAGTCTAAAGAGCCATCCAGAACATAGCAAACTTTTTAACTGATAACTAATATGTACATATGTGTTTCATCACACTCACCCCAAAGTTTGAGGCTGCAAAACGATCAGATGCAGAGACATTGGTGGAGGCAGTTGTGTGGGCATAGTAGGCATTGATGTTGGCCAATAAAGTACTCATCACGGCTGGCACACCAGGACACATATATTTTGATGACAAACATGCAAAGTGCCTGAAAAATACAGTATCTTCATTCTTAAAGACTTTGTACCTGGGCGCCAGTGGCTCACTCCTGTAATCCTAGCTACTCAGGAAGCTGAGATCTGAGGATCACGGTTCAAAGCCAGCCCAGGCAGGAAAGTCTGTGAGACTCTTATCTCCAATAAAACCACTAGAAAACTGGAAGTGGTGCTGTTGTTCAAGTGGTAGAGTGCTTGCCTTGAGCTGAAGAGTGCAGGGACAGTACCCAAGCCCAGAGTTCAAGCCCCACGACAGACCAAAAAAAACAAAAAACAAAAAACTTTGCAGGCTTACAGAAAAAAACAAACAGAGATCAATGAAGCACAGTCAAAGCAATCGCTACCCAGTAGTTTCACAGGGATGCTTCCTGTATTACAGATCCAGGCACAACCTCACCAAAAGCCATATCTCCCAGAAGTCAGGAGTTTCTGTTATGTGAGTCTTGGCAACTCCAGAGAAGGTATTTTTCCCTACAGTTCATCTGCCATCTGACTCTCAGGCCAGTCTAAGTCAGCCTGTCAGTCATGCACACATGTACATGAGTGTACTCATTTATATGAACACATGCATGTCCTGTCTGATCTGGGCATGTGCACCTTTGCATACTCTTTTATGCCCTATTCCTTTCCTACTCTTGACCTTAAACAGATAAATAAATACTTCCTCCCTAAGTTACTGACAAACATTCACTTTCTATAAACACTGTCTTTATCTTAGTAAGAGCATAGATCCACACACTCAGTTCAGAAGAAAAAAAGGAATCAATAAACACTACCTGACTAAGCACTTGTCTGCCATAATATGTGCCCCACCGCATTAGTCTTCCCAAGAATTAGTAGTCACTTCCCAGATCCCTAGGGGAGCCTTACGTCATGGCCTGGTATATGGACTCGATGCCATAGCGCATGGCAAACTCATCCACAATTTCTTGGGCTGTCTCATCAAAGTAAACCTTCCATGCATCATCTCCTCGAGCCTCAGGGATCCGGACTACTCCACTGCCTTGAATGTCTGTGAGGAAATGGAAAAGGTTCTGCAGAATATAGAGCAAAGAAAAGGAAAGCATTAAAAAAAAGAATAAGAAAGAAAAACAGCCAGGAATGGTAAAGCATGTTTATAATCCCAGCTATTTGGTAGGCTCAGCAAGGGTTGTGAATTTGAGACTAGCCTAGGCAAAGTTAGTGAGACCTTGTCTCAAAACAAAATTAAAAAATAAAGGGTTGGAGGAATCATTCAAGTGGTAGAGTATTTGTCTAGTAAACGCAAGGCTCTGGGTTCAATCCCCAATACCACAGGGAGAGGAGGGAAGGGGAGGAAAAGAAAATAGATAGGGAAGAAAGGAGATAGGAGGAAGACAGTGAGAAACTGAAGGTAAAGTTCAGGAGAATGTAAGATTCTGTAGAAACATTGTCTTTAAAATCACCGCTCAGTTCCTCCTATAGCCCTAGTAGGCTGTTCTCACACTAATGAAAGTGAAGAGTCTGAGCTCAGTCTCTCCGGCTGTCCAATGTAGCACAATGAGCCAAGGATAAAACAAAAAGAGGTTCCAGATCTCCAGTCACCTCACAAGCAACCCTGCTTATGGTCAAGTGTCCTTTTCTGCTTTCTTCCTCACTACCCTCCTTGCCTACACCCACCTGCAAACGGCTTGCTCACCTCATGGAGACATGTATACTGCACATGGTATGGGGCTACCTTCTCCTCTCCCTTGATCTCCACACTGATTTGTAGTCGGATAGCCCCTGAGACAGCTGACTTGTCTGTCCTTTTCTCTAGGAACAAAAGAAGACTGGAGATTGACACCAATGCAACTATATATGGTACATCTGTAGACAGTCCATCTGTACAGACAGTCCATCCTGGAAAGAATGGCATTCAAGGAAAGAATGGCACCCACCCAAATGACCACATACTCCATAAATACTCCTGTCCTGTCTGAGTAGGGGAACAGGAGTGCTAAAGGCAGTCGTGATAAAGATGAAGACTGAAGGGCCTTCTATAGCTGGAGAATGTGCAAGCCTGAATGAGTTATAGCCACCACCACTCGTCCCTACTCATGGCCAGCTATCTGAAGGTAAGATAGGCTATGTATAGAAATATGCTTTACTGATTGGCATTTTTGGTAAATAGAAATTTTCCCAGTCCCTCTTCATGGTCTCCCTCATAAACAACTTTTCCTGGTTCAGTTTTCTCACCCAGATTGTACCAGACATCCATCTCGCCACTCAGTGTCCGAACCTCAATGATAGTTTGGCCGAGAAAATCATCAGACTCTCGCTTTAGCCGCTGTTTTACTTTGGACTTGATATCATCATCTTCATCCCACACACGTACCTTAATGCGGTCGGAAGAATTGTGGCACTCACTGTGAGAGAATTAGGCAGACTTTGTTAGGGACAGATCCAACATAATTCACTCTAATTACTTCCAATTTCCTCACAAAAAGCTTCATCAACTATACTTGAAAAAGGAGGAGGAGTCAGTGGACTCCAGCAAATGCCTCTCCATTCTTCAGGGGTGAGGAGAGGAATAAATAATTAGGGTCAGTTCTGGCTTTCCTATGCAGCTAGCTATACCAGCAATACTACAAGCTGATACACAGAGCTCCACAGAGCTCCAGGAAGCAATTGCTAGCTTCCTTTTCAGAATATGCAATATAAAGTCAGAAAAGACTCAAGATATTCCTAGTATGTCCAACTGGTCATATCTGCTTAGCTTTCTAATTTCTCCATCTAACTGTGTTGGTGAATTTCTATTACACTTCACTATATCCTTTTCTTCTTTCTCTCTTTTTTTTCCTTTTTCTTTTTTGGTCGGTTGTGGGGCTTGAACTTGGCCTGGATGCTATCCCTGAGCTCTTCAGCTCAAGGTAAGCATTCTACTACTTGAGCCACAGTGCCACTTCTGGTTTTCTGGTGGTTAATTGGAGATAAGAGTCTCATGGACTTTCCTGCCTGGGCTGGTTTTGAACTAGGATCCTCAGATCTCAGCCTCCTGAGTAGCTAGGATTACAGGCGTGAGCTACCGGTGCCCAGCCAACTATTTGCTTGAATGGCCATTTCCTCTCTGGTATTTGCTTTGGAGAAAGGAATTGTCAGGTCTCCTGCATGCTAACCTCCCTACAGTTATTTTCTGGATCCTGCTTCCTCACTCAAAAGTTGAACTCAATAACTCCGTTATATTAACTGCTCATTTCCCTATGTTCTTTTTTTTTTTTTTGTCAGTCGTGGGGCCTGAATTCTGGGCCTGGATGCTGTTTGTCAGCTCTTCAGCTCAAGGCTAGCACTCTACCACTTGAGCCACAGCACCACTTCCAGCTTTTTCTGCTTATGTGGTAGAATTGAACCCAGGACCTGTGCATGCAAGGCAAGCACTCTACCACTGAGCCACCTTCCCAGTCCCTTCTCTATGTCCTTATCTTTCCTTGTTATATTGAAATATTATAGTGTAACTACTGTTCTACTGAAAATAATAGACAAATCACAAATTAGTTTCTTGAAAACAGAAATTGAATTATTCAGTTTGAGAAAAAAATCATTATATACATAATAGTAATATAGTAAATTATTCACTACAAGTACACAAAAATGGCCACATACCAGTTCATTTAAAATTGGTCATAGAAGACCAATTCATATTCATAGTAAAACATTCATATTCTTAAAATAAACAGGTGCGTCCCCTGGTAATTGTTGCTCTGGACTAGAGATTAATTTTATGTCCATTCCCTTTTACATGGGTTCTTCCAGGAGCCAACAGAAGATAGGTAAACCAGTCTGATCAGCTATTCAGACCCAAAATCTTGATTCGAGGCACCTGGATTCTTCAGATAGTATTCAAGCTTTTATCTACTTTTCAACAACCATTCCTTCTTTTCTACCATAGCTCTAAGAAAGTAAGGGGGTAGAAGTAAAAGTTTGGGTTCTACAGGAAGAAAAGCTTCTGGAGAATGGAGGTGTCTCTAGATCCCAGATTTCCATCTTCAAGCCAGAATTATCCAATGGTAAGATAAGGACTTTGTTTTCTCACTCCTCAGAATAGCTCAACCCTTCCTAGGCAGGGTGGAAGGCCAGGGAGGTAAAACAGAGTGGTCAGTTCTTGGTCTTGTCACTGAGTGTAGAAAAACCTTCTTAATGCTGGTTAAAAAACAATAATGGGGTGATCCTATGTCCCCTTAATAAGCCTAGTTAAGAAAGGGCTTGGGTAAATGCCCAGAGACAGTATGATTGTTGCCCAAGTAAGCATTTAAAAAATGAGATTTCTCCACTGCCTTTTTCCAATATTTTCTGGGTTAAGCCAGAAAAGCAGGATGTAATACAGCTTCTAAAATACACACTGTCTCAGGTAAGATAAAACCCTCTATGACTTACAAATGGAACTTCTCCTCCCAAACAGGATTCAAGTTTCCAAAAATGGTCTTTGTACGTTTCTTGGTTTTGCCAACTTGCACAGTCACATAAGGGTCACTGGATCCTGTTTTGTCCTTGGCTTGTAGGCCCTGGGCACACACCACTGCAACCCAAGCATAAATAGGAGGTTTCAGAGTACACATCCAAGTGAGTCAAAAGTCTGCGATAGCACTAGTCACAGGCTACACTATGGTAATATTCATAGTCTTCCAATGCTCTCTGCACAACAAACATAATCTTACTACTCTATATCTACCCTTAGTCTTAGGCCACCATCTACTTCTTCAATGTTCAGCCCAAGAATCCCATCTCCTTACCTGGGCTCTAACTGACCACTTATCCCTCACTGGATACACACATAGTTTAGTCCCACCCATCCAGTGAGTAAAATACTGGTTAACTATTCCATAATCTGCCTAACACTTTTCCCAAACCCCAGTTCTTATAATATCAAACTGTTAGTCAAGTCTTATAGTGTCAGGCTATTAGCAAGTCTTTATATAAACTTGCTATAATTAATACTGTTTGAAAGTGCCAGTTTTGCTTCTCTCCAGCACCAGAATCTAAGTGAGGAGGAATCATGAACATTTGGGTCTTCCCACTTCCACTTAGTTCTATCTTCTTTCTCCCAGGTCCCTTACTTCATACCCAGATGCTTCTTTCCCAGGGAAAACATAGCACTGTCCCTTCAGATTTCTGCCTGCTTACCCGTGATGGTAATTTTGGCTGACCATTTGGAGGTCCCATCTAGTACACTTTGTTTCACCGTTTTCATCTGCTGAACATGGGCAACTTTGCTCACTGTGAAGACATCCCGGATAACTTCAAAGATCTCTGGCTTATTCCGCTCTCGAATCTTCATGCGGTCCTTCATGGCCATGATAATGTTCTGGGTCCGATCCTCAGCTCCATGTTTAGAACTCTTTTCTGCAGCGCCTGAAGAATGACCCAGAGAGTCGCGCTAAACAACAGGTTACCTCTCAGACCAAAACTGAGCTAAGGAAAAGGCCCTAGGAGATGACAAGAGCAATGGAAGAAGCTTAGAAAGACAGGGATCATTCTGAGAAATGGAAAAAGTGAAGTCTGCTCTCTGGCCAGTGGAGTTCAAAACGTAACTCAAAGAGTAGCAAAATCTTGATAATGGTAATGAGGGTTCATTATTCTATTCTATTTAGACACATGTTGAAACTTATCATCAGTTATCCAATCTAAGGTCAAAATATCACCAATGGGTATCTCAGATATGAGGAGGAGTAGTGAATGGGCAAGACAATACCAACAATCTCATAAAACTGCCAAGCATAATGAAAATCCCAGAATTCATTATGGCACACAGTTGGGTTCTGCCCTATAACTCTAGTATCTTTAATTACATCAAATAGTGTGGTATAATAAGAAATGTATGGCTTTTGATACCAATCTTGAGTTCAAACCCTGTCTTCATTACTCCTAGCTTGAAGAACCATTTTTCTCTAAGTACAAATAATGATGCTTGTCTCTCAGGGTTATAATAGACATTAGTTCAGATAGTATATATGAAGTATTTGCCAAGGGTCTACAATATAGCATTAAATTGTCACTATTTCTTCATCCTCCTCTTTCTCCTTCTCCTCCTTCTTTTCCTCCTTTCCCTCCTCCTCCTCTTCTTCCTCCTCCTCTCCTTCTTCTCTTTCTTCTCCTCCCCCTCTTCCTCTTCTTCCTCCTCCTCCTCTTCCTCTTCTTCCTCCTCCTTCTGTCTTCTCCTTCTGTCTTCTCCTTCTCTTTCTCCTCTTCTCTTCCTCCTCCTTCTTCCCTTCTCACACCATAATCCTTAAAGCCTTTGTTACTATGGCTTGGTTTGATGACATAGAAGAGTACTTTCCCACATGGCTCTTCCCTGCTCTTCTTGGGGTTGGGCCATAATGAGTGAAAGCTGAGGAGAAGGAGGATGTAAGGAGAAAGAAACTTGGAGCACTACCAACCTCCTGATCAGAACTTGTTTCATCTGCTTCTATGTTCCTCATTCTGCCAGGGCAATACAAATCATATATGTAACTCCCATATTCAGGCCTTGGGAGTTTGACACACTCTCCCTAGACCTCTGTTCCATCTGTTTGAAACTTCTATTCCTGGCACTGTCATTTAAAAGTTCTATTTAAAAACAAGGAATAAATGCTGTCTTGTTGAAGTACTAAGGCCTAAAATTCACAAGGGTCTTCTGTGAGGCCTAGGCCTAGAACATCATAGAGCTTACTTTCTTTATTTGTTATTAGTTTCAGTCCCTGATTCAACACTCCTCTAGTCACTTGGGCAGTAAGGTCACTGTGGGGTATGTACTATATAAATTAACCTTCTGGAATCAACTAAACCCTAGAAGAAATTCTTGCTTCACGAGAAAGCTGTAGCAAGTTCTAAAAGTGCTTAAGCGGGTATCATAAGACCTGCTATTTGGAAAGGCAACCCATATTTATTTAGCAGACTACCTTCTCTGGAAAGGAAAGAACTTTAGAAACAGGTAGGTGAGTCTTCAGCTTTTTGCTGAAGACTGTTGTGGAGAGCCCCTGATGTCCCCACTCCTCACCCTTCCTCTCACAGGAATACTCACGCTGCAGGCAGTCAGCATTGAGCAGGTCCTGGCACTTCTCATGGCACTTGACGCCACACTCACTGCAGCGCATGCCCTGCCGGGCAATGCCCCAGAGCATACCTTCACACTCATAGCAGTAGGTGGGAGTAGTAGCTGTCCAGACCTCAAAGTTGTGAGGTGTAGTACAGGAGATGGGGTAGATTAAGGCCTGCAGGGTTTTCTTATATACATGGGATTTCTGAAAGACACATTCCCCATTATTCACCAGTGGTTTTATGATTCTGGGGGAGTTACAAAACTGAGATCCTGTAGGACAGTCAGGACCCTCTTTTCCCTCCTGCAGAAAAGACATTTTAACTTGGCCCAACCCACTGTCCTGACTGACAGACCAAAGTCTCTAATAAAGTTTGCTTTTGATCAGATAACACAAATTTGACTTAAAGCTAGGCTTGAGTCTTCTCCCAGCATTCACCCTTTCTAACAAAATAGAGTATTAGGCCCACCATAAAACGCTGCAATATGAGACTCTAGTCTGGATATTGGTTACAATGCAGAAAATTGAGATCTTATGCTGTTTCATCAACTTTTGAATTCTATTTAGTATGGCTATAGAAATGATAATTCTAAAGCCAGTGGATTCATACAAGCCCATGGGTCACTTACCAGCTCTTCATCCTTGAGAGAGGTACGTGTAGCCATTGCAGAAGTAATCCCCGCCTTCCGGGACTGGACCAGTGACTATAAGAAAGGCCTTGCTGTCAGCCCTGGCCATCACCAGGGACTGGCAAAGTACTGGGGAGGAAGCTTTAGTCACCAAAGCTACATGACTATAACTTACACAATGGATTTTTACTGTCCTTCACAGGGACTTCCTTTGGCAACAAGTAACTAGTAATCCAGGTTAAGATGCAAACTCCATGATCCTCAGGGGAGTAGTCTAGCAATGTTGGAATAGTACTTCCTACAGGGTAATCTATCATCTGAGGTACTTCTTTTCCTTCACTATTCTTAGGTGTCCTATCCCACAGAAATTCCTTGTTTACAGGATGAAAAAAGAAAATGAAAGCTTAGAATTCCAGTAGAAAACAAGTTATAAGAATAAGAGAGAAACAACTCTTTCAGTGACATTAAAGAACCATCATCAGGAATGAGATTCCATGGTAATGGCTATCTACTGGAACCTCCCAATACATAATCAGTGGTGGGCTGTAGAGCCCAGTAGTTCAAACAAGCAGGACACTTGGAAAACAAAAAGGCAAAGTAACCTCAGTCAAATTAAGCTGGGAAGGAAAGCGGGGATGGGTTGTCCTGCTAGCCAGGCTCTTGTGTACAGGATCCCAGGTATCTTGCAAGCCCAAGCTTTAGGGATACCCCTAGGAAAGATAATGATTTCCTTAAGTCAGCAAACACTAGGGAGACTAAAGTCATACTATCAGCTTAAACAGGAGGACCAGCTGGGTGGGGCACAAATAGTTTGGGATGTGGACTCTTAAAAGGACGAGGAGGGGCTCTGGAAACACTCACCATGGCCTGTGCAGAGGAGAGCAGAGAAAGGAACAACATGATGTTAAAGCCCCTCAAGAGCATGAAAACTTTCAGAGGCAGCTGAGTATCTTCCCTATAGTCCAACGTAGAGAACATGTTCTAATCCCCTTTGCCTCTAACCACTAAAATCTCTTAAATTCAACCAACTGGCTAGGGCCTAGAGTTCCTATTCTAAGGACAGTTATGCTACAAAATGAAAGACAGGCAAGTGGAGAGGACAGAGAAGGGGAAATAAGATATGAACTAAATACTTGCCGTGGGCAAGAAAGGAAAAACCAATGAAAATCACACTGAAAAGGAGGGAAAAGAGAAAACGGGAAATAAAGAAATAACAAAGTGAAAATGTGAGGTGACACTTTCAGCCAGCTAAGAGGCAAAACATGAGTGGGAGGAAAAAGAGAAAAGAGAATGGAGGATGGAGAAAAGGAGTAGATAGGAAGAATAGAATGGAAAAAACTGAAAGAAACAGCAGAAAACAGTCCTAAGACAAGGATTCAGTAAACTCCTACAACTTACATCTAACCTTGAACTCTGAGACTCCTGGGAGGTCTGGACTCCATTCTACCCCCCGACAACCACAGGCTACAGACCCAGAAAGGGGGCTGGTGGTTATCCTCAAGGTCTTGTGATTAGCTTTCATGCCTAAGCCTGTTGCAATTCTATTCTACAAATGTTTACATTGCTTCTTGATGCCAGTCATTGGGTTACCAGAGATAGTATGAATAATGTCCTAGGAAAAGGTTTTTATTTGACCTCTAGGGAAGCGTCAAGTTTTAGTCCTGTTCATTACACTTTGAGCTCAACAATCTAGATTAAGGGTTACAGGCAATTCACAGTCCAGGCCATCAATGAAGGCTATAGGGCACTTATAGGAGTTAGATGCCTATGGGAAGACTGTAGAGCCTAGCTTTACGGGCCAAAACCACAAATGTTCTAGGTAAAAGTTTGATCTACTGAAGAGTGTAGAGGTCTGGCTAGGAGTGAGGTAGAACAAGGTGCTACTGAAGCCAATATAAAGTCCTAGTAAGAGACTTAGAATGATTATAAGCCCATTATGAGCCACTAAATGGACCTGTTCCAATCTTAACAGTTTTCCAAGGCTCAATGGGGGATGCCATAAGGCTACTTCCTATACTTGTGCAAAGTCTTCACTCACCAGATCACTGACAAGAGGCAGTGGCTTTTTTCTGCGTAGATCTGGCATACTGTCAATGCCATAGAGCCCTCCAGCTGGCCTAAGGAGAGAAGAAAAGAAAATATGTCAGATTCAGAGGTCCACTCTCCTCACTCTCCCTCTCCCCAGAGGAAGATGAGTACAAGGTAGCTTCTACCATGTGCCTTTGAAAGGGTTAAGGAAGACAATAAATAGAAAAGATATAACCATGTGATGAGCAATGGAATCTGCTCACATGCTTCTAGCTAAGGACTAAAATCATTTATCCAAGAGAGTGAAGCTACATCTACTTATTTGAAGATACTTGTGTTCCTGAAGGTAAGGTAAGAATTAGTGGTCAAGAGAGTTCCTGCCCACACATAGACCAGAAACACTATACCTCAAAGAGACATCCTGCATGGCCTATGCTAGAACAAAGCCCACAGGAATGGCTCTATAGGAAAAGCCTACTGTCTAGGTGAGCAAGACTAGTAAAGTATGATAAGTAAAAAGAGACCTTCTCGGGCTGGGAAGGTGGCTCAGTGGTAGAATGCTTGCCTTGCATGCATGAGGCCCTGGGTTCAATTCCTCAGCACCACATAAGCAAAAAGAAAAAAGCCAGAAGTGGCACTGTGGCTCAAGTGGTAGAGTGCTAGCCTTGAGCTGAAGAGCTAAGGGACAGCGCCCAGGCCCAGAGTTCAGCCCCACGACCAGAACTCCCCCACCCCCCAAAAAAGAGACCTTCTCAATCCAAAAGTAAAAAGGTCACCAGTTTTGCCTATCCAAGCCTTTTGAAGAAAAGGGTTTCCATAGACAGAGAAGTCTTCATAATCAAGAGCAGACAGGGAGGTGGGATAGGAGACAAAAAAATACAACGTGAAGGGTGCATTTAGAAAGGAAACAGCATAGTGACTCAGTCTGGCCTTGTTCTACAGACACACAATAGAGACCAGAGGAAAATGATAGACCAATTGGAGATAGCTAAAACTTTTTTTCAGTCGATCATGGGGCCTGAACTTGGGCCTAGGTGCTGTCCCTGAGTTCTTTTGCTCAGGCTAATGCTCTACCACTTTGAGCCACAGCATTACTTTTGATTTTCTGGTGGTTAATTGGAGATAAGAGTCTCACAAACTTTCTGCCTAGACAGGCTTTGAGCCATAATCCTCAGATCTCAGCCTCCTGAGTAGCTAGGATTACAGGCGTGAGCCACCAGCGCTCAGCGATCTAAAACTTTTATATCTTTACTATATTTAATTTTGTTGTTTTCCTGTTCTTCAATAAAATGTAATTAAAAAACAGAAGATATCTCCAAAAGAACATTGGTCTTATACTGAATTAATCTAAGTTCACCTGCACTTCCATAACTCCCTATATGTCTTTTGCCAATATTTCCTCTTTGAGTTTTGGTATCATGCCTATAAAATGGGGTGAAAGGGCTACAAAAATCTCTCTACCCTTTGCTGAAACTCTGAGACTTTTTTTTTCCTGATCATGGGGCCTAAACTCTGAGCCTGGGCACTCTCCCTCAGCTCTTCAGCTCAAGGCTAGTGCTCTACCACTTGAGCCATAGCATCACTTCTGGCTTTTTCTGCTTATGTGGTGCTGAAGAACTAAACCCAGGGCAGCATGCATGCAAGGCAAGCACTCTACCACTGAGTCACCTTCCCAGCCCTGAAATTCTGAGCTTTAATGAGAGGAGATAGTTAAAAACACAACAACCCATGTACTTAATTGTTTTGCTTTGGTTTGAGACAAGGTCTCTCCATGTTGCCTAGACTGGCCTCAAACTTGAGACCCTTCTGTCTTAGCTTAGTGCTAGGATTATAGATGTGTTTCCCCATGACCAGCTATTCATGTGCTTGTTTTTAATGAGATCAACAAGTTGAAGGTGAGTTTGTACACCACAGCTGATCTAAAGAAAGAAGTCTCAGAAGAATAAATTGATACTTCTACTACATAACAAAGAATAGAAGCCGAGCGCTGGTGGCTCACGCCTGTAATCCTAGCTACTCAGGAGGCTGAGATCTGAGGATCGCGGTTCAAACCGGAAGTGGTGCTGTAGCTCAAGTGGTAGAGCGCTCGCCTTGAGCTGAAGAGCTGAGGGACAGCGCCCAGGCCCAGAGTTTAAGCCCCACAACCGACCAAAAAAAAAAAGAAAACAAAGAATAGAATCACAAATTGGGTCAAAGCCACAAGCTAGAACAGTCAACATGTTGATTTTGAATTAACTATTTCTGAGCTTAGAAATTTGTTTTTAATGCAATTACCAGCCTAGGGAAACTCTGTTTTTGTGAAAGCTTCTAAAGACTAAGGTGAAGGAAAGGAACACAAAAGACCAAACAAACCCCTATATGGCTCTATTTAAAAATAGTTTGGATATTGAACCCCCTTGTGTAACAAGTTGAAGCTAAGTAAACAAATAAACTAATAATGATTTGGATATATTCCATTGGAATGTGTATATTTTACAGTTATTAGGAGAATTAAAGTTCACGAAAAAGCAACTGGTGCCACAGTTCATAGCCAATTCTAACATCTATATGGTCCACTGAAGTCAAGAAGTTTTTTGCAACATAAATCATCTTTTGAAAAAGAAAAAAGGGACAGATTGTTCAAATTGTTGGCTCTTGATTTAAAAAAATCACACACAGATACACACACAGTCACATACACACACACACACACACACACACACACACACACATGTAAAAATGTAGGAATAACTAATATATGATCTGATTTTCTCTGGCCAGGAGTTGGAAGAGACAGCTATTGAGTCCAAACTTAAAAGCCTTTATAGGGCAAAGGAAGAAGAATCAGATGAGTAACTGGAAGTGTATGTAGGGGAGAATAGGGTTTCAGGAGGTACTTAAATTCTCTCTCAAAAAGTCAATCAGTTACAGGCAATGTCTGAACTGTTAAAATGGCTCTGTTACAATCACATGGATCTGGAAAAAAAAAAAAAGAGAATTCCTAAGGGATTTTTTTTTTTTTTTGTCAGTCATGGGGCTTGAACTCTGGGCTTGGGCGCTCTCCCTCAGCTCTTCAGCTCAAGGCTAAGGCCCTACCACCTGAGCTACAGAGCCACTTCCTATTTTCTGGTGGTTTATTGGAGATAAGAGTCTTCCAGACTTTCCTGCCTGGGCTGGCTTTGAACCTCAATCCTCAGATCTCATCCTCCTGAGTAGCTAGGATTACAGATATGAGCCACCCATGTCCGGCTCCTAAGGGATTTTTTTGTCATAACAATTGAAGCCAGACTGAGTCCAGGGGATAATCAAATCATCTACATCATCAACAATACAATGTGAAGATTCTTCACAATGCAGATTCTTTTTCTAATGCCCTCATTCTTCTATGTAAAAGGACTACCACCACTATGGTGCAATAAACCAGAAATCATGGGAGCTCCAAAGCTCTCTCCCCTAACCCTGGGGAATATATTAAGCAAAACTCCTTCTTCTGCCTCTAGGAGTCAATCTTCAGTTCTCTTCTCTGGCCCAGAGAAGAGAACTGCCAACCAACCTCCTTCCTTCTTCACAATTCAGTTTATGGAGTGACTTCTCCAGCTTGTCAGGAGAAAAGCTAAAAGCAGAAGAGAGATAAAATTCACATAAAGCTTACAGAGAATCACTTACCCTTCTGGAAGCCACTGAGGCAGAGATGGGTCACCATCATCTGGAATCTTCAAAAAGAGACGTAAAAAAGTTAGATTTTGGGATCTACTGTAGGTTAGGCTGTGATTAGTTTATGTCACATTAACCCAATGGTAACAATCATCCTAATATCTAAGCCAGTGACCTATCATCTACCATCCAGGGTGACAAGCAGGTCAGCCAAAGTGGCAGAACTTAGCTTCCTTCTCCCCAGTGAATAAAAAAGATATAGGGCCCCAACCAAACCAAAAAAAAAAAAAAGATATAGGGCCAAACTCATTGAAGTCCTAGGGCTACAACCACTCGAGTTTTGACAGCTGCCAAAATTCACATTTCCCTATATAAAGAGTATAGTTAAGCAATAAGACAAACCTAAGGGAAGCCCTTCTTAGGCTTCTGGACCTCACTAAAACAAAGGAGAACTTCATATACATTGAGTCTTCTTCCAGCCACATTCCTAAATTCCTTTAATTGCTTATAGGCAGACCTGATATTTTTGGATTTCCCTCTCAGGTGATGACTGAAGTAGCCTGGGTACCTCAAACCTTCGCACACTGGGTATGCAAGTGCAAGTCCCCTCTCTACATTTCACAAACTCTACAAGAGAGCTCAGGACAAATTAGACACTCAGGTTATCATTCTGGTGAATTTTACAGGCTGTAAGCAGTTGAAAACTGAGGCACCAAATAATTCAAGGAAGGAGCACTAAAAGGCAAGAAACCAAATCCAAGTCAAAACAAAACAAAACAAAACCCCACTTTTTAAAATGTCTTATAGAACAAAAGCAAAACAAAGCAAGCAGTACAGAGAAGACAGCTCCAAAGCTACCAGCATTCTCTACAGGACTAAATGGTGCCTGTTTCTCAGAAACAATAAAATGAATGTTAGCAAGTCTCGGGCTTCATACCCTTCCTTGTTCCTTTGCAGTCTTACCTCCCTGCCATCAAACTATCCTAGTACATATTAGCTCCAGAAAAGAGACAGAAGAAAGCTGCTTAGCTTTGGAAGGGGTGATATTTGGGTAGAGAGGAAAGTAGGAGAATTTGTGGATGAGGCAAGCCAGAGTAGAATAGAGGAAGACAGGCCAGGGCTAATGGATGGTAAAAAGTAAGCAATAGGTCCAAATGAACTTTGGATTTCAGATCTTCTCAGTAAGAAAGAACACTTGTATGTGCTTTAACCAAGCCTATCTGCCTGCATCCTTATACCACCCCATCTGCCATCTGTTCTGCTTCAGAGGTTAGGATAACACTTGGAGTGAAAAAGTCAGGAACAAAAGACAGTCCATAATGGCTAAAGCAAGTGACAATGTCTCAACACAAGAAATGATGGAGAAAACTGTAAGTCTTCTATTATTGCTTGGTGGCAGAGGCAAGGGGTGGGCACTGGAGAAGTCCTTCGGTAAATCTTGATGTCTTACCAACTAGAACTTACCTTTCCTTTGGAAACACCTAATGTGCTGGTTCTTATTTTCTTTTCAGTTCTCATAATTAAACATTTTCCAGAAACTACTAGGCATACAAAAACATGCACAAAAAGTTTGGGGAGCAATCCCAGATTATGTGCAGTTCCTGTGCTCATAGGAGACAACAGTCTAGAGAATCACAGACCATGCACACACAGCATACTGAAAGAGGGAAGAGAGTAGGAAGAAGTACAGCCAAACTACTATTCATAGATACAACCTGTATCTGAAGGAATCACAAGGTGAGCATGAATCCTGCACTTATGGCTTCAGTGCCTGTGCACACCCATCTGAGAGGATTCACAGTGTTTGCCCAAATCACAAGCAAAGCAAACCCTAAGTAAATGTGCTTTACAAAGCACGAGGAGGCCACACAACAGGTCTACAGAGGCTTCTACCCACAGAAGCCAACAAGCCTGCTCAAAGTACAGAGCACATTCACACTCTGGGTCCCAACCAAGAGCCACAACATGTCTATAGCAAATTCTGTTCAATACAAAAGCATGCATGCTGGGCTCAGCCAGGGGTTACAGCATATGCCAGAATCTGCAGCAACAGGTAGAAAATGGACACACACTGTGCAAACTGGGAGAAAAGGATGATAATCAGTGTCTGTGGAGAGCTAAACTGAGTAAGAGTGGAAGCACACACATGCTCTATCAAATATGCATCCATGCTGGCGCACACACAAATTTCACATTGTGCTCCAGGGATGTTAGCAGGAGCATGGAGCACACAGCATGGAGCATGCACATAAACATCTTTCTAGAAAAACAGACTATCTTTATGAGCCACAGCTCAGAGGCACAGATCATGCACACTCACGCACGCACGTGCGCGCGCGCGCGCGCGCACACACACACACACACACACACACACACACAGAGTGCTCAGAGAGCAGGGTGGAGAATAGAAAACAAAATGGGCCCAGAGAGCCAGAGGTATAACCTGAAGGGCTCCTCGCTTTCCTTCTGCAAGGAGAGAAAGAGCAGGGAGAAAAAAGGCAGAAAGGTTAGTAGATTCTGTTTTATAGCAGGGAACCCAAAGAGAATGTCAGCGCACCCCAAGGTACATGGAGGAGAGAATCCTGGATACCTGTGCGGGCCTCAAAGCCCAGATTGCTGGTCCCTAGAATCTTAACTCTCTGTGTCTGCTTGGTCACTGACATTTAGTTTGAACTTTCCAATGGCTATTTAACCCAAAAGACAAAGTCTGCCTGAAGGTTCTACTCATCCTTTCCTTCTTTCTAAAGTAGTCCATAGTCAGGGCTGTCAGAACCACGGTACCAGGTTTGTTACTGATACTACATCACAAATAGAGGAGAATTAAAAAGAAATGAGTTAACATTCCTAATTTTTCAAGCTATTTCTGACAGACCAATGGGTCATCTGTACTGACAGAATAAACTGAGAACTAGGAATTCTTAAAGACAATGTAGCTCTAGAAAAATGGGTGAGAGGAAAATACTCTTCCTGGAACTAGACTTATCTCTTCCACACCTATATCCACATCTATAGTCTTTCTAATATATCCTATTTCCTTTGAATAAAAAAAAACAGCAAGTAACACTTTAACTGACCCAATGATTCAAGTTGGAAATGTTTCTCTCAACTACATTAAATACATTCTCCATAGCATGTCCCTTATTTTGAAGCTTTGTGTTTTCCCAGACTTCCCCATAATGACTAAGAATAAAATCCAATCCTCTTAAGGCCATCCGTACCCTCCATGATTGACTCCCAATCCCAGAGTTTTAGGGTTGGAAGTGTGGATCAAGTGGTAGGGTGCTGGTTTACCAATTCCAAAATTTCCCTCCCCGACCTTCAGATGCTTCCCAATACATTAATGACTGCCTATTGTGTAGCTCCTGCGTATTCAATATTTAGTTTAAATTCAATTTGACCAAGCATCATTTTCTTCCTCCTTCTCCTTCCTCCTCCCAATATCAGAGACCTGAGATCAATCATCACCCTGTCCTCTCCATCCACTTGGGCACTGGATTCTTCCCTCTTTCTACCTCCTTCCTATCCAATCACCCAGCCCTCTATAGTCTACACTCTAAATATCTCTGACAGCCTCTCCTGCCTCTCTACTCCAAACATCAACTATCCTAGTAAATACTCCCATAGTCTCTGATCTGGACTATAACAAGGAATTGTATGTTGACCTGCCACTAGACACATTCCACATTTTCTATTTCAAAAGTTGAATCAGTTTTTCTTTAATTGCATAAATGGCTTCCCATTCCTTTTGATAGTATAATATGCTTCAACATTTATATTTTCCCTGATTTATCCTTTACTCCTTTTTGTGTGTCCAATGAATTTATCTATCATATCTCTGCACATCTTCCTCTAATATCTGCCATGTCTGCTGAGTGAGACAGGGCTTATTCTTCAATACTAAGCTCAAATATTATTGCCTCTATAAATTTATTTTCCTTCCTATCAAAGGCAGAATTAGGTGCCTCTCCACCATGTTACCATGATACCCATCCTTCTACAATACTATGCTTCACTGAACAGTCAGTATTGTTCTTTTTTCTTCTTAATGTCAGATTCCTTTATTCTTAAAGTATAAACATAACAGTTTATTTAAATACAAAATTTATTTTCTTGCAGGTAAGAAATTTTTCTGTCAATTGGCTTCTTGTAAATAAAAAATAAACATTTAAGTTATTGAACTATTATGTTTATTACTCTCAGTACATTTTATAATCCTTAAAACTCTAGAAAAAAAAATCTTACATCTTGCCTAAAGGTATTGACCAGGTCCAAGTAGGCCATGAGAGGTATGCAATACTGCTCAACCCAAGGTAGTGTTCTTAGTGCTGGTGGTGCAGCAGTGAATGGAAAAAAATTCCTTATTTTGTTGTTGTTGTTGTTGTTTTTGTGCCAGTCCTGGGGCCTGAACTCAGGGCCTGGGCACTGTCCCTGAGCTTTTGTGCTCAAGGTTAGAACTCTTATCTCTTGAGCCACAGCTTCACTTCTGGCTTTTTGGTAGTTTTTTGGAAACAAGAATCTCATGGACAATCCTCAGATTGTCCATGAGAGCGTAATCCTCAGATCTCAGCCTCCAGAGTTATAGGCATGAGCCACTGGTGCACACCAAACTCCTTTATCTTAAAGAAACCTTTATTCTAGTAGGTGAACAGACAAGAAACAATGATAATGATGATGATGATGGTGATGATGATGATGATAATAGAGGCTGACACTAACTGAATGAACATTTACCTTGTGTTTGGCACTTTATTTGAATAAGTGCATTCATTTCTCACAATTGAGTAAAAATGTCTCTTTTGAAAAAAATTAAACCAAAGATCAGAGAGGTTAAAAAAGTTGTCCAGTAAGTGGCAACACCAAAATTCAAAGCAGGCCATTGTGAGTCTAAGATCTGTTCATCAAAAGAAATATATACTATGACACATAGTATCACATGTGATACTATGAGAGTGTGATGAAAAATTCAAGTAGGGGGAGAAATACAGTGCCCCCTGCTTATGGTGCTAAGAGTTGCTATTAAAATTTTATTAAAGGTTACTAAGGAAGATGACAACTAAGC